AAAAAAAAAAAAAATATTGGATTTTAGGACATAATATATGTACATGTATCTATAGTTACATACTTTGTTAATAAATATTCATACTTTTTTTTTCAATGAAATAACTTAAGTATGACATATAAGAGCCATTTTTATTTAAAATGTATGATGGATTGATCTGCCTAACAATTAGGCTGTCTGCCTAGTGTAATAATTTGTAAGGTTGTCTAATATATAGCCATCTCTACATACATATTATTGTACTTGTACATATATGTAAGAAGCAAAATAAGACTTTTTCATTAAATAAGAATAATTCTTCATCCATCCCGAACGACTTACATGGAAATTAAAGATATTCCATACTTTATACCGAAGCTTTTAATTAATTGTTACCACATTTTCTTTGGTCCAACATATCAAATGAATGTCACATTTTTTGTAATATTTTTGCATATAATTAAAACTGATTACAGGAGTTACTATCGTTGCACGCAAGAAAATTGTCGTGTCAAAAAACGGGTCGAACGACTGGCAGACGACCCGAGAATGGTGATAACGACATATGAAGGAAGGCATATACACTCTCCATCACATGATAACGAGGAGGACTCTCAAGCTTCAAGCCAACTTAATAATTTCTTTTGGTAGAGATTGTATACATATATATACATAGTAAAATTCTGATTTGGATTTTGTGATTGACTTATTGTGTTTTTCTTTATACTGATAAGCAAAATGTGTAATAATAATAATAAGCCCTAACTAGAGTTAATTTCACGTCATCGTACAACTTTTTGTTATACGTAATTCGTGCGCGCGTGTTTTTTGGTTTCTTTTAATTTTCTGTGCCCTTGTTTGGCTGGGCCGAGAGGCATTTAACATTACTTTGTATCGTACTTAATTGTCCAATTCTCGTATTTATACATTTAGCATGTTATAATCTCGTGAAATTAGTTTTCATTTATGACGTGTATTTTTGCAAGGTGGGCATTATAAAGCACAACCGGCATGTTGTAAACATGTTGTAAAGAGATTATTTCCTATGTCATTTTAGGAAATGACAAAAATAAATTAAATATTTAAATTAATACGAGGCAAATATAGAACTTGACAATTTAAATCAATCAAATCTATAATATATTGTACACGAATGTATCTCATGCTATAGTTTTATTCAAGTAAAATATTAAATATTGCAGAGAAGCAGCTTAATTTGTCGATAATGTCAAGCAGCAAGTAAACATGATTAAGGAATCTACTCGAAAGAAAGCACATATGATTAATTGCGAGTGTTGCAAAAACCAAGGGAAAAAATCATGTTCGCAAATGTCAAATTTCGGGATCGGTTTGCCCCGTGTAATCATAATTTGGAATATATGTGATGAGTGTTTCAGATTTCTTAATCCATTCTTGATTTTAGCGTTACATAATTATATATAAAGCACTTGTACATGATCAAACACTATCAACTTTGAGTTCTAGTCTAACTTTGAAATATTGCCTCTTTATTTCAACTATATAAAATCATCGCCTTTATCTAAAGAAAAAAGATTCGGGGAACATTCCATTTCCTTGTTCGTATTTTATCCAACCATAAAACAAATGTTGTACTAATCCCATTTAGAGCATTCACAATATTTTGGATTCAATCTTAAAAAATTATATGCCTCAGTCTAAAAAAAATATATTATCCAATGCAAACAAAAGTAGATCAGTTCTACTGACGTGACAACCAGAAAAAGAGACCCGGTCTACCCTTAAATCTATTTTAGACCCAAGTAGAGACCTAGTCTTTTTGCATTGAAGTGAATTTTGTTAATTTTACATAGTTTTATCCATATCATCAAAAACTTGAGTTTACTTACATATCACATAGGCAAGACTAGACTCCATGCATTGTAGATGCTCTTAACTCTTTCTTTCCAAACAACAAATATTGCACTAATCCAATCTATAACAATTTCTTTCCAAATAAAAAGGTAGGAAGAATTTAAAAATTAGTAGGTTATACATTACTATTTTAATATTAATTCACTATTGAACCTTATCAAATTTAATAGACATCATATGGAATGATAAAATTTAATAGATATTATGTAGCACGTTACATGGCAAATGATGTAGTAGCAAAATTTCATTTTTTGTATTTTCTGTTGTGTGTGTGGTTTGTGAATATCAAGAAGATGACTTAAGGAGAATAAAAAAAAAAAAAAAAAAAAAAAGAAAACGAAAAAAAAAATCAAAGCCGAGGCACGTAATAGTTACGTTCTCCTTAAGACGAAATTGTCCCATAAAATACCTATGGTTAACGGCAAACGCCTCCAAGATACAACGACTTTCGACTTGTATATAGCGGTACTTCAAATATACATGTCTTCGGCGAACAATACTATTATTTGGAACTCTCAAAACTCAACGAAAAAAATCAAAGAACACAATATGCTATATGATATTTGAAAAGTAATGCAAGAATTCTCTTATTTTCAAGTTGTGAATAGTTTCATGTATGTGGGTATTATAGACGTAAGAAAACACCTCCAAGAGGTTTAAGTGTCAAAAGACATCTTTTGGAACGTACCCGAACGAGAATGGATACACTTAGAGGCCAAAAGACATCTTATAATCACCAAGGGTTGCGACCTTTCGGTGTTCACAGCCAGCTGCGCGCCCGTGCGCATACGGACTCGGAATTGAGTTCCATTTTTCCTACTCATCCCAACGAACCCTTCTAGAGTTATAACATGCAAGTTGCATGATCATGTCTCGTTTGGATTATTCTAACATTCGTCAAGAACAAAATATTTTACGAATCCAATAATTTTAGTTACTTAAACTCATTGCTTCAACCTTACATTTCCCACATATACAATTAAGAATTAATTCCTCATTCATCTTAAAATGGCTTTGAGAATTTTCTAAGTCTTCTACTTACAAAAAATGAAACTGTAAAATCGGTTCAAAATCAATTTTTCTTACAATCCCCCACATGAACGAAATTATGCATGTATATATGCAATACTTGAGAGTCCCAACGATCCGTCATTGTGTTTGTAGTATTTTTGGGTAAGTGGTAACCGAGCTACCCGGACTCGGGTCGTTCTCAAAGGAAGGCTATTTGGACACGGATTCAAGCAATGATTGACTCACAAGAAAGGAAAATAAAAAGTTCTAAATATTCTACTCGCATTTTGGTGGTTGAATTAAGCTAAAGAAAGCAAGACTTGAAATTTAAAGCAAGCGACACCTCAAATTGCAAGAAAAAGAGAAAATAGAGAGAAAGATAACAAGGTACCCTAGACCCGTGATGGAAAGAAAGCACTCATAGATTCGGGAACATGTAATCAAGCAATCGTCACTCGCGACCAACCAATCGATCTCTCAATCAATTCTCGCTCATGTAATTAAGCTAACGCAATCAATAACAAAATCACATAATCCCTAGCCTACGAGGATGAATGCATATTATACTCATGAAAGCTCCTACCTTTACCCTAGAATGAATTCAATAAGTAAAGACAAGACAAGACTCACAAGATCTTGGACCTTCAACTAAGTCTCCAATCGGACCTTAAACGAAGTCTCCAAGTCCCTAGTGCATCCACGAGAAGAAATAAGCCGGAAAGTTGCAATCTTGATGGAGAAATATTACAATAAAAATAGGGTCTTAGAGCCCTTAGAGAGAGAAAGAAAACTAGAGAGAAGGAGGAGAGAAAAACTAAAAGGAAAATTTTAGCAAATGAGGAATTGTTCCCAAATTACAAAGCATCAAGTCTATTTATAGCTACACCACAAACACACACTAAAAACACACACATTTAATGAAGAAAACTCGCGAGGTAGGCTGAACTCGCGAGCTAAGGTGGGATTTTCGCGGGCAAAATTCGCTGGCAATGAGGAACTCGCGAGCTGGAGGGCGATTTTCGCGGGAAAATTTCGCTGGCTGGGCCACACTTGCGAGGTAGAGCTTTTTCGTGGGCTCGGAATGGAAAAATCGCAGGCTGGAGTAGCTCGCGAGTTCTGGACAGCTCGCGACAATGCATTCGCGGGCGCGAAATTAGGCTTCTCTTGACTTTTGAGGCTCGATTAGCTCTAACTTCTTGCACGCTTATCCGATTGACTTGAAATTTCGACCCACGCTTCTTAAATCTTCTTCTCCTCGTCTTGAGATGCTCAAATCGATGTCACCACACAATTAACAAATATGCTCGGAAATGGTTCACGTGGCTTGGACATGGCTCGGATGGCTCGGAAATGTCTCGGAAATGGCTCCTCTTCCCAAACTCGAATATAGTGGACCTACACAACACCAAAAAGACAAGAAAAGTACGCCGAACCACAAAAACACAATACGAAAGCAAAAATACACGAAACACGATAAAATGGATCGGTTGATACTAAAACGAACTAAAAACACTAAACTAAAGCACATAAAACACATGAAAATAAGCACAAAAACACAATAAACACATTGCATCAGGATAGATAGTTTGTTGACTTGAATCTTCCTTAGTGAAATACTATCGGATACACTAGTTGGTTAATATCACGATGCTTTGAACTTGCCGGTTGTATGTGTGCACCATGACATAGTACTCACACAACAACGGTTCTAACAATTTCTTGTTCTCATGTTGTGTCTATTTCGACCTTGAAATGGCCTATTTACTTCTCACTTACAAAGGTAATTCTCCTATAAAGAGTATCATCTCTTACTCCACCCATAGGTATAATAATCATTAAAAGTCCTCGACTTAATCTCACCACTTAGGCAGATTTTTGACCCTTACGGTTCTAGAAGTGAGCAAAATTTTTTCAAGTGTTTCACTGAACTGTCAAAACTTGCCTTTAGTTTTTTAAATCGTTTGTGTGGTCCTATGTCGATCCAGGCTAGAGGAGGTTTCGAGTACTATGTGTCTTTCATAGATGATTACTCGAGATTTGGGTACGTTTACCTGTTGCACCGCAAGTCTGAATGCTTTGAGAAATTCAAGGAGTATCGGGAAGTTTTGGAGAAGCTTCATGGTAAAAGTATCAAGTCACTTCGTTCTGATCGAGGTGGCGAATACCTCTTTGTAGAGTTCAGGACATACTTATCGGAAGCTGGGAGGAGCCCGATAAACCGGTAGGCGACACCGGCCCGTGTGCCCGTGGACCAGCCCAGACCCGCGACCCGACCCTCTTATAGCTTGGAGAATAAGACTTTTACCCTAAGTCTTATATATCGTGTGATTTTTCCCCTCTTCGCTATTCTCTCTCGTCGCTCCCTCAATCTCACCCAACTCTCGTCGCTCTCATCTTCCTTGCGCAAAGAAAAGAAGAAGAAATCTCTCGATCACAATCTCATCCCTCTCGATCCCTCATCGTCNATGTTTTGAGTTTGAAATTCAAAACTTATTATTGTTTTTTCTGTAATTTTTTTTATTGAATTTTTATTTTTCTTTTCAAATTTGCAGTTGTTTAGGTTTGAAGTTGCAAACTAGCCTTTGTTGTTGCATTTTCTGTAATACCGAAACCGGACTGATTTTTAATTTATCGTATTTTCGATTGAAAATCGATCCAGTATCGGTATGAGTATATCATAATGCTGAATTTTTTAGTTTGGTTCAGTTCGTTCGCATGTATAGCTTATAATTTCCAATATTGGGCAGAAATTTCGGGATGGGAAAGTTAAAGAGAAAATTATACCATGTACGAATGGATTCAAAAATATTTACACATCTACCAAGATTTGTTTTTATTAGCAGATTTGAAGAATATGCACAAAATATTTGCATATGTACATTTTCTAATATTTAATCATTTCTTTTTTTAAATCTTGTTGTGATAAGGTAAATTAGGGCTTAATTGTAACTACCTACTTTATTGTCTGTCGGATATCCTTTCCAGATTCCTACTTCTTTTTTCTGTTCTCTATCTTCTTCATTCTCCGGCGATTGGTTCTGTATTCCTTCATCCTTCCCAAGTCGTCTCTTTTTTTTTCCATCGTCTTCATCTATGAGAATTAATAATACCATAATTAATGNCAATTCTCAAAAGCAGTCATCATCCCGGCTGAAAACGGCATGGGTTGACGAGGCCGGTGGACGCGCTTCGACAAGACAACGTAGATCTCCCGAACTGAATATCCAATGTTTGCACGGTGAGCAGCAAGTTCTGTGGCTGTCTGGTACAGCGATTCAAAAGGTGGATGGTCGACCAAACGGTGACCGCTCAGTCGGAGCAGCGCGGTCATTGAAGGGCCGACCATAGGAATTTCAGCCGAGGACCGTAGTCGGCTTTTTCGAGTTGATCGTCCCGCTGGGACGACGACGTGTACAACGACTTATGGTCCGACGAAGACAAACACGTCTACGGCTTGAAGAGATACAACAAATAAGCCTAGATATTAATATTTTTTGGTTCGTTTTTATTTCTGTAATTCGGCCGTGCGTTTGATGTTAAGGACAACAGACCAGACTGTATATATGATGTATATATGCAGTATATTTATAATTTTTTTTGTTGTTTGTGCGGTTACGGTTACAGTTATATTGATTGTATATTTTTTCATATATATTGTTTATATTTTTCATATGCGCATTATTAGAGTGTGTATAGTTTGAATTTTTCGTCTGAAAGATTTGAATTGAAAATCATAAGGATTGGCATGATATATATACTGTATATTTTTTTGTATATATACTGTTTATTTATTGTGTTGTTTTTTAAAAACGTTTATAGAGTATATTTGTGGTATATATTTTGTATATATGTAGTATATTTATCCAAAAATGATTATTCCACTGGTGGATATGACCGAAAATATAAAAAAGATGATACTAATTGAATCCCCTATTTTTTCGCGATCTAATCTACGTGAAACGTGTTTTTGTTACTTACTATGTGAGAGAAAATTCTTACCATGTGAGAGAAATTAGTTTAATTGCTGTCAGTTACGAAAATTTAGGAAGAGAAACTGATAATTATTTGCTCAAGATATAGTAACATTGCAATTTTTTTCTCTTTCATCGTATATATGCAATTATTTGCAAATCACAAACGCAAGTATGTAAATGACCCAAAGTTAAAAGTATTTTTGAGAAGATAGTTGAGTTTTACATTATGCGGGCAGCTCAAGCTACTACATTGGACTGATTTGGCCCACTTAACTAGATTCAAATACATTTGAATCACAATCATATTTGGGCTTGGGCTTATTATCGGTGCTATAGCACTGAGACTGCCAAAATCTGTTGAGTCAAAACAGAACCTACCACATCTAGGAAACAATAATACTTTGACAAAGGAGTTTTTTAACTTCAATTTGATTAAGTGTTCCATTTAAGGCGCTGGTTTCATAGTATTGATGATTATCTATTCTAGCAAAATTGAAAAACTATCTGTTAATCTATTATACTATACATTTTCGATGTCAAACAGACAATGTAACTTTCCAATATGTATTTATAAGAGGCACCTAGATATCGAGGCAATGGTTCGCCTTGAGTTTTCTAAAGGAAAAATATTTATATTATTCATCTACTGGAATGTCATGAACCATGTTAAGGGAGGCGCAAAGATATCAACTTTGATCGAAAAGAGGGCTGACAAGGGTGGAAAAGGTGGAAACTTTGGTGAAGAAGATGGAATTGAAGATGGAAATTCAAAATTAGGGTTGAAAGAGGACGTTGAGGAAGAAGGTCAAAAAGACGAGCTGGTTGAACTGAAGAAGCCTCAAATTGTTGGGCCATTTTGTATTCCACGTTAACTTATTTATGTTTTTAATTTATTTGGGCTTTAGTGGATTATGTCTTTTTGTTAGAGTTGTAATGGGCCTGAGTCTGTTCTAAGCCCAAGATTGCTAGAAAGTTAGGTGGGACCCATGATCATGCGTAAAACATTGGCAGTGAAGTGAGAATATTCAGATTTGGATGCATAACAAACTTTCTCTCTCTCCCTCAATTCTCTCTTCTCTCTCCTCACGTCATTATCATCTTCCTCCCAACTCTACTTTCTGGTACTCAAAATGCCCAACTAAAATACAGAAAAATCAAGAAAAATACTAATTTACACTCGAGCTTAACAATTGGTATCAGAGCCAAATTCTGGCCATGGCTGAAGGAACACGCTTCAAAGACCTGCAAGAGACACAGAAAAAAATGGATCAGTTCATACAAACCGAACTACTCAAAAGAGAAGCAGCCGAAATGAAGCTCCATGATCAAATAACACAGTTAAGCTCAGAGTGGAAAACTGCGAACACAGAACTGCAAACGCAGCTGCAGGGTAAATTTGACCATTTCTCTGATACCTTAGCTTCTATGCAGCTTCAATTGTTGAATATTGAGAAAAGCAAAGGTTCGGGAGAGAGCTCCATCTTCGGGCCTTATCAAAACTCTAGGCCCGAGGGATCCTTCAAGCTCCAGAAAACCAGATTTTCAACTGACCAACAACAGCAAGACCAAAACCCCCAACAACAACCTAATTCACACATACTCAGTCCACTTCCCAAAATTGATTTTCCCCACTTTGATGGAAACAACCCTAGAGCCTGGATTTTAAAATGCAACAGTTACTTCAGAATTATACCCAATATCCCAGATCAACAGAAAGTAAACCTAGCATCTATGCACCTTGAAGGTAAAGCAGCTCAATGGTTCCAAAATTTCAGCCATAAGTGTGGGGATATCACTTGGGCACAGTTCCTAGAAGTCATTTCTGCTAGGTTTGAAGAACTGAAGGAATCCAAAATAATTGGTGAATTCAACAAACTAAGGCATACTGGGTCTTATGTAGACTATGTTGAAAGGTTCGAGGAGCTAAGAGCCTGTATGCTGTGTATGAACCAAGACTACTCTGAGGACTACTTTATTGCCAGTTTCATTAGTGGACTTGCTGATGAATTGCAGGCTTTCATTAATATGTTTGAACCAGTCACCCTACAGCAGACTATAGACTTGGGGAAGAAGCAGCTAGCCACCTTGGAGGCTATTTCCAAGAGAATGAAGGGCCCCAACAAAACTTACCCAAATCCCTACCAATCACCTAAGAAAACTGAAGCCCCATTCAACTATAACCCCAAAACCACCCAAAACCAGCAAAGGAACCCCATTAAAATGCTCACTTCAGCTGAGATGGCTGCAAGAAGAGACAAGGGGCTTTGTTATAATTGTGATGAAAAATATGTCTATGGACATAGGTGCAAACACAGGCTGAACTATATGGTAATGACCGAGGAAGAAGAGGTCAGTTATCTACAATCAACTGAAGAAGGAGATGGAGGAGAAGCTTATGAGAACCTTGAAGAAATACAAATGTCTCTCAATGCAATTGCTGGTGAGGATGGATTAACCACCATGAGAGTTTATGGGGTGACTGAAGAGCATAAACTACATATCCTCATAGACTCTGGCAGCACCTTAAGCTTTATCCAAGCCAGTACAGCCAAAAATCTCAAACTGGACCTCAAGGAAGCCACTCCTATTGTTGTCAGGGTGGCCAATGGCCAGAGGATGTTGAGTACTCAAATAGCAGAGGGTTTCAACTGGAAGATGCAAGGGCACACATTCAGTTATCCATTGAGGGTGTTAGACAATGAAGGTTGTGATATGATTTTGGGAGGGGATTGGCTGAAAAGTTGCAGTCCCATTGAACTTGACTATGAGAAGATGAGGGTGACAGTGAATCTTAAGGGAAAAAGGGTTAAGATACAGGCCCTTAATTCAGAAGCTCAATGCAAATTGATCACAGGACCCACTTTGTACAAAATGATACATGAAGGATTGGGTGACAATATAGAGGAAGTGTACTGGGTTGCACTTAACAAACCTGATACACCAGGGAATCCAGTGGCAGTTGAGGCAATTTTGGAGGAATTTCAGGTGGTTTTTCAGGAGCCTAAAGGTTTACCCCCAAGCAGAGGTGTGGAACACCAAATTAACCTCAAACCTAACAGTGTCCCTAAACACCAATTCCCTTACAGATCCTCTCACACTCACAAGGAAGAGATCGAAAAGATTGTCAAGGAGATGTTACAAGCTGGGATCATCACAGATAGCAAGAGCCCATTTGCTTCACCTGTCATCTTAGTTAAGAAAAAAGATGCTACTTGGAGGTTATGTGTGGACTACAGGTATCTAAATGGACTAACCATTAAACATGACTACCCTATTCCTGTCATTGATGAGTTGTTAGATGAGTTACAAGGGGCTAAATATTTTACCAAGATAGACCTGAGGTCTGGGTATTTTCAAATTCTCATGGACAGGGACCACAGGTATCTCACTGCTTTTAGAACTCACAATGGGCATTATGAGTTCTTAGTTATGCCATTTGGGTTATGTAATGCCCCTGCCACTTTTCAGTCTTTGATGAATAAATTATTCAGAGAGTTTTTAAGGAAGTGTGTGCTGGTGTTCTTTGATGATATCCTTATATACAGCAAGACTTGGGCTGACCACTTGGGACACTTAAGGCAAGTCCTTACAATATTGAAGGACAATCAGTTATATGCAAAGAGGAGTAAATGTGAATTTGCACAAGAAAGGATTGAGTATTTGGGACACATCATCACTCACCAAGGAGTGTCCACTGATCCTCAAAAAATTGAAAGCATGGTGAAGTGGCCTACACCTAAAACCCTGAAACAACTTAGGGGTTTTCTAGGTCTTACAGGCTACTATAGGAAGTTCATCAGGGGATATGGCATCATCAGTAAACCACTGACTGACCTACTCAGAAAAGACCAGTTTAAATGGGGACTTGAGGCTGAAGGAGCTTTTCAGAACCTGAAACAGGCCATGACTAGTGCCCCAGTATTGGCTCTACCAGATTATAGCAAGCCTTTCACTTTGGAAACTGATGCTAGTGGGAAGGGGGTGGGAGCTGTACTGATGCAGCAAGGCCAACCCATTGCTTACATGAGTAAAATGCTTTGTCCAAAAAATCAGGCACTCTCTATTTATGAAAGGGAGTTCTTGGCTGTGCTCATGGCTGTGCAAAGATGGAGGTATTATTTGCAGGGGAATAAATTCATCATCAATACTGATCAGCAAGCCCTTAAACACTTGCTGGATCAGAGGGTTATGACACCTATGCAACAAAGGTGGATCACTAAATTACTTGGGCTGGACTATGAAATCAGGTACAAGAAAGGTACTGAGAACAGAGCAGCAGATGCTCTATCCAGAAGGGAGGTGGATGGTGAGAACATGGCTATTTCTACTCTCATTCCTACTTGGGTTCAAGAGGTCAAAGATAGCTATAAAGAAGATGCTTACCTGTCTAAAGTCCTAGCAGCAAACATTGTTAACCCTGCTTCCTACCCAACCTTCACAGTCACTGATGGGGTTATTAGACACAAAGGGAGATTGGTCATTGGTAAGGGAACTAAGTTACAACAATCTATACTTTCTACCATGCACAATTCTTCCTATGGAGGCCACTCTGGGGTGTTGGGCACTTATATGAGGGCTAAGGAGGTTTTTTACTGGCCTGGACTTAAAGCAGATGTGTTCAAATGGGTACAACAGTGTGATGATTGCAAAAAGAGCAAATCTATACCAGGTCCTTATCAAGGCTTATTACAACCACTCCCTATTCCTGACAAAGCTTGGTCACACATTGCTATGGACTTTATTGAGGGACTTCCTAAATCAGCTGGGAAAGATGTCATCATGGTGGTCATTGATAGGTACACGAAGTATGCTCATTTTCTGGCCTTAGCTCACCCATTTACTGCCCCTACTGTAGCCAATTTATTTTTGGATTCCATCTACAAATTACATGGGCTTCCAGTGAGCATTGTCTCAGATAGAGACAAGGTTTTTACTAGTGCATTTTGGAAGGAACTATTTAAGCTCTTAGGGGTTCAGTTGAACATGACTTCATCCTACCATCCCCAGTCAGATGGCCAATCAGAAAGGTTGAACCAATGCCTTGAAAACTACCTAAGAGGCATGGTTCACTCCAATCCAAAACAGTGGATGAAGTGGTTGGCATTAGCAGAGTATTGGTACAATACAAATTTTCACACTAGCCTAAAAATGACCCCCTACCAAGCTCTCTATGGCTACCCTCCTCAGAATTTCTCTATGGTTCCTTATCTGGACTCTACTCAGACAGATGTGCAAGAGTTTATGCAACAAAGGCAACTGCAAGCTCAACAACTCAAAATCAATTTAACTCAAGCTCAAGCCAGAATGAAATTTTATGCAGATCACAAGAGGGAAGACAAACAGTTTGAAATCGGGGAAACTGTATTTCTCAAGCTACAACCATACCGGCAACAATCAGTCTCCTTACGGAGAAACCACAAACTTTCAGCTAAATTTTATGGCCCCTACACTATCTTGGAAAAAATAGGGCCAGTATCTTACCGATTGGCCTTGCCAGCTGACTCCAAAATACACCCGGTTTTCCATTGCTCTCTCCTCAAGCGACGCATTCATCCGACCATTAAGGCTTCTCAGCAGCTTCCTGCCACGGACGATTCAGGCAACATTAAACTGACACCTATCACAGCTACTGAGAAAAGAATGGTTTTAAGAAGTGGAAAGGAGGTACCTCAAGTGTTCATTCTCTGGGATGACTCTTCTCCACCGATGGGCACCTGGGAAGATGTGAGCTTTCTTCGCCGCCGCTTCCCAAATTTCGATCCTTGCGGTCAAGGATTTCAAAATCGCGGGGGTAATGTCATGAACCATGTTAAGGGAGGCGCAAAGATGTCAACTTTGATCGAAAAGAGGGCTGACAAGGGTGGAAAAGGTGGAAACTTTGGTGAAGAAGATGGAATTGAAGATGGAAATTCAAAATTAGGGTTGAAAGAGGACGTTGAGGAAGAAGGTCAAAAAGACGAGCTGGTTGAACTGAAGAAGCCTCAAATTGTTGGGCCATTTTGTATTCCACGTTAACTTATTTATGTTTTTAATTTATTTGGGCTTTAGTGGATTATGTCTTTTTGTTAGAGTTGTAATGGGCCTGAGTCTGTTCTAAGCCCAAGATTGCTAGAAAGTTAGGTGGGACCCATGATCATGCGTAAAACATTGGCAGTGAAGTGAGAATATTCAGATTTGGATGCATAACAAACTTTCTCTCTCTCCCTCAATTCTCTCTTCTCTCTCCTCACGTCATTATCATCTTCCTCCCAACTCTACTTTCTGGTACTCAAAATGCCCAACTAAAATACAGAAAAATCAAGAAAAATACTAATTTACACTCGAGCTTAACATGGAACAACGGTCCCATGATCAGTTTGCAAGCAACCTCAAACACGAAATACAATGTAATCCAAAGTCCAAACTTTAATAAATTAATTTCAGACTTTGTAACAATCAGTTCGCTAGCAACCACAAACGTAAAATACAATGTAATCCATACTTAATAAACTAAACTCTGACTTTGTAATGTGTCGGTCTAAATTCCAATAATTGAGTGACGTAGCCGATTTGATGAATTAGTTAATGTTAGTATTCACTAACAAACTGTTCCACGAATCCCAGAATTTCCAAAAGCATTTCATCAAAACGACGAATATAAGTATGTACACAACCAATCTCATATTACGCTTTTCCATTTTTCTTCTTATGTGAGATGATCCTACCTCATATTGATTGAATACTTAGATCCATTACCAAATATTACAAATACTCACACAAGGTCAGAANAAAAAAAAAAAAAAAAAGGTGAAGAAAAAGCCCAACACCACAAGCTTGAATGGCATACAACAAACTTGATAAATATACACTTATGGCACAAAACTTTCTCAAGTATGAGGATAGTTGTCTGAAAACCTGCTCTTGATCCACTTAAAACTGCTGCTCAATGAGGATTTGAGCTTCGCTTCTATACCATACATGTTGTAGCCAGCTACCCTCTTCCTCCTCCTCACCTCTGGGTCGTCCACCGGCCCATTAAAACTATAAGATTTAGAACGATTTTCAAATTCCAATCGGGCATAAGAAGATGAGTAATAAGAGAATGGTTTATTCTTTTCCATGACAAAAAGAGGCAAACTCGGATTTATAAAAAACAAGAACCACGCTTGTTGGCCGTTGCCATTTTGTATCAAGAGAGCACATGCAAGACAAGTGTGGGCTTGATTGGACAGTGAAATATACTTAAAAGATTTCATGTATGCATAGGAAATGATCATCATGGATATTGGCTACTGACTATGCTAAATGAATGCTAGTTACAATGCTCCTATCATTGGTTTCTATGAATTATTCATGCTACAGCCTGTGCAGTACACTTGGTATGCTGAAAAATGTCTACCTATTTTCTTTTGATGACGAATTCTTCAATTATTACAACCATTTTTCTTCAGTGATCTGTCTACACTGCGGGTGTATACTAACAAAATCATATTTTCGGTTAAATGAAGACTAAATTTTATTTTCTTAAATAAGTTAAACAAACATAATAATGTAATTGGTAATATATTGGTTATTCTCATGTAAAATGCAGAGAGACATGGATTAAGTGTAAGTGGTTGAGGTAATTGGATGACTACAGATTTCTAGTGAACTCATTTCGTGGGTAGTGGGCCCGGGAAAAGTTATGATAAGAGGAGATTCGGGCGCAACGGGCTTAAATATAGACAGTAACAGCGAGACGCAATGCTTAGCTTTAAAGCAGGCAAATGGGGTTGTTCTCTTGATTAGTTGATTTAATATGTGGGCCTTTTTATGTCTCAATTACTGATTATTTTTATCAAGTATCGTACTCCATGGTGCAACGTAGATCTAAAAGGATTAATATTATCTTAATATTCAGTATTTTTCATTATCATCCACATATATTCATCACATCTTGCTTTGTATATCTATTATTGTATAATAATTACCTCAATGATGAATAATAGATACATGTGATGAGTGAACTTTTAAACCATATACTCAAGTTGTTTAAGGCTATGTTTGGTAAAACTAACTGATAAGCTAGCTGATAGTTTATAAGTAATTTTTGAGCTTATAGCTTATGACATACAGTTGAAAAGCTAGCTTATATGATAAAAATGTTTGGTAAAATTAGCTGATAAGCTAGCTGAAATAAAAATTTCAACGAGCTTATTTGAAAAGCTACCCTGAGAAGCTTATGAGATAAGCTCGAGCTTTTTAAAAAAGCTCATCCTGCCAAACAAAGCTTATTTGAATACAGGAAGCTTATAAGCTAGCTTATTTGTCTACCAAATAAAGCCTAAATGACATTCATTTCATAGCCTATTAATCATTAAATTTGATATATGTATATATATAGATGGTTGTTAAATAAGCAAGTAGGACTCAACAATGAATCATTATATCGTTTTTGATATGGGATACCATACTTAAGCATTTTAATGATGAGTATCATTTTTTACTTGAGCATTTTAATGATGAGTATCATTTTTGTAGAGAATTTTAATGATGGGTATCATTTTTTATATTCAAAATTACATAAATATCATTGAAAGCTAACCTTGGAGTTCTAATTCTTGCAAGTAAAAAACAAAAAGTCGAAGTTTTAACAGTGAAAATGATATTTATGAGGTATTTTCACTATGACCCACAACAATTTATAATGGAACTAATGAAACCAAGTGGGGGCACCTCTGAGTTCAGATAAATAGTCGAACACCAATAGAAATATCAATTAAGATACAAAAAGAATTATAAATATATTCATTTATAAATGACAGCATCATAAAATGGTGGAAAGGTTTTTGAGAAACCTTATTTAAAAAATCAAGAAAAAAAAAGGAATACTTAAATTATATTTTCTTATATTGATAAAAAAATATATATATTTATAAAGAATTTACAACACATTTAATGATAAAAAAATTATTTATTGTTAAGAAATACAAAAAACAATCCTTACAGCTCCAAGGGTTTGGAAAAAGTAAAGTCTCATAGTTTTTCCCTTAGCGCATTTTTTTCTCCTAAAAAACACAATCCTATGTATTGCCAATTCCTATAGTGGAATTTCAACAAATATTTTAAATGCAACGAGTTCTTAAGTTCCCAAACATATTTGTTATTCTGTATTAAATTCTATATAAATAGATAATCAAGAAATTCACTGATAAAGAAATAGATAAATACAAAGCTTTCAAAAATTTCACAAATGAAAACCAACTACTTTCTAGATTGCAATATTGCATTATTAATCCAACCAAGATGTTTATAAATATTTTCGATTGACGGGAAAACTAAAAATGGGGATTGTGATTGACAATTGTGATCAGGATGGAAATGGAGCAGCCTAGCAGGCATGAAAGAAGAACATTCGAAACTGTTGTAATGAAGTTAAGGTACACTAAGTGCAATTTTTTTTTACAGTTGCATTTGTTTTTTGTTTTTCTTTTTTATTGCCTTTTGTGTGGAAATGGACTGGCATTTAAATATTGTTAATTGGGTTTGTCCACATCATTTAACACCTTGGGCTATATTTTTTGCTAACAAAGCAAATAGAAACCCAATGCATTGGAGATGATCTAACATACCGTAAAGCCACAGCAGTTGCAAAGTGGATAGTAAAATCAGAAGCACTACTTAAGCAGAATGATTGCAAAGGGTTACCTAAGCTGAGTGATTGCTAAAGAAACCAGCACCATTCTCAACATCGTCTGTTTTGATGTTTGCACTTTGAGCCATAAGTATTCTGTAGATTCTCTTGGAACAAACCTCACCCAATCGTCTATCATCGCCAAACAAGCCTTCGATTGTCAGATCCTTGAGCAGAAATTCTTTCTCGTATACCTGATTACGTTGTTAAAATAACTATTGTTCTAACAAATATAGAAAGGAAATAGCGCGTAGAAACAAAAACAAGTACAGTGAACACGAGTTATTCACTTGGAGCAAAAAATGAACATCATCACCTTCCACTGGTACAGTTTCAACCATTTAGCGCACAAAGATATTTACTGGTGAAATGTTCAGATAATCCATATGCATAATTATATCTGGATTGGTTCACTATAGTTTACGTGAACATGAACAAAAGATATAATCCTATCACCCGACACCCCGTTTTAACGGGAAAAAAAAAAAAGCAAATTAACATTAAAAAATTGGAATCAGAAATAATAAGGTAATATCATTGTAAGTATTGTAATATCAACATAAAAGATAGTTCAATTCTTTTTTTCTTTTCTTGAGACCATTTTCAACATAGCTTTCAGAAAAGTACAAATGCTAAATATAGATAAAAGGTATATTTGAGATAAAGAAATTGTCTCAGAAGGGGGAAATCATATCTAGTTGTTAATTAAGACTTACAGATTTAGTAGGATCCATGTAAACTCTCAGAAGAGATCTCATTGTTGGGTATTTCTTCCAAATAGCGATCGCAAACCGCGGCTGCACCTTAGGGATAGCTACCAGCGCCTTCAGCCTGAATGAGAAAATGATTTATATAAATGCTAATAACCATAACTGATAACTTGGAGAACAATATGCATGAATGAACACACCAATTGATAACAAAGTATACTCAGCAAACTTATTTTCACAAATTTCAGCACTCATCAACCACAACTTAACTGGGGGAGGAAGCAACACAAGTGCAAAAAAAGATTCCTTATAACTTAACTACTTGAGCTTTGTTAGTTCGATCCTTGTGCAACATTTCTTCCTCCAATCAAGAAGACAACATGTGCAACAATTTAAAGATTCAATGCTAGGATACATTACAACTCTAATAAGTTAAAAGACTTGCCAAAAAGCTAAACAATATACTCAAAGTCAAAGGAAGCCTACATTATAACTCTAATAAGCTAAAACAAAGCCTATCTTAGGGAATAAGATCATATACACCCTCACAAGTTTATACCTGATCAAGCCCGTTACAAGTGAAACTGAAGCCGACTGAAATGCCGAAAACTAAATCTGTGTTACTTACCACAAGTTCTTCTTTAGTAAATTCTTCTCAGCGCAGTCTTTAGGGATAATGGATCCATTTGCATTAACTGATAAACGTGTCAACTTTTTCCTACGAGCACAGAGTTCATATTGGAGCAAACCATGGCACATTCATTTGTGTGTGTGTGTGTGTGCTTGCTCCCTGGAACATAAAGCACATTATGGCTTTACCTAAACTGGCAGGAGGCAAGGCTGCAAGTCAAACCAACTACATGCTCTGCTAACTCAGCTTCATCAACACACTGCCTTGAATGCACTCCAAAATAATGTGTGGCTAATTCTGCCAAGACCTATAACAGAAGACCGAAGCTAATCAGTTGAAAATGCATTCACTGTGGTATAGAGTATTTCAAGCACTGCTTTCATTGCTTCAGTTACCTTCTCTATAGCTGGGAGCTTCCAACTACTGTGGTTGGCAAGGTTCTTGTACTTTGCGTGATCACTACACCAGTGGCACCAAAAATTATTGATAAATATACAACTGTAATGAATGAAGTACAAAAACCTAGAAAAATCCATCCCTCTGCAGAAGAAATTACTAAATGCCATAAACATTACAGGCAAGCTAGTAAAAACCCTCCATGTAGTGTAATGTCAACAAACAATTTTAAAATCTAAGAACCAGATATAGGGTCTCATTTATTATGAAAATTGCAAATAATGTATTAAAAATAAAATGACGATGTACGAATAGGTGCCTCTGCTAGTCACTCTTATATGGGTAAATCACAATTATAATAGTCTAAACACACAGGAAGCATTTCAAGTATGAGGTACTGCACGAAAATGATAGAAATAATGATGTATGTATCACAAGGATGAAGAACGAAGAAGCTACAAGTTGTGTTTTCCAAAATGAAAGTAATTGTTCCAGATAGAAGATTGCAATGAGCTATAAATTTCAGCTGTGCTCTTTCACCACCTTCATGAAGAGGTGCAACACAGAATAATAAATGACAGAACAAAGATAAACTGCTCACCTTTTATTGATGTAAGCCATAAGCCTATTGGTTAAGTAACATATAGTATGGTGAGGATATCGATCTCGAACACTCTGAATATGATCCGCAAGAGATTCGTTCATAACAAGGTTGCAGAACTCTTCAGCCTCATATACAATCAAAACATAAGAGATTTCAATTCGCTCAGATGCAATCTGCAAGTTATAAGAAATATTAATTTGACAAAGCACTAAAGTACCTATGATGAAATATAAGAAACCAGAACACAAGTAGAAAAGCTAAAGTCCCAGAAACTAGAAATAAAGCATTAGAAAGAAATAAATAATAGTGACTAGAAATATTACCATAGCAATTTCTTCAGGAACAACCATATTCCAGATAATCGTTCTTTTCACCGGATTGGAAGTTATACGATATGAAATGCCTTTTTCTCCAAACCTTGTGAGCAGATATCCTAAACTAAGAGAAGATAAAAGACTGCTTAGGCACCTCAAGGAGCAGAGTAAATAAATAAAAAATATAATACAAGTACAAATGAGCCAATAGAACAATATAACATTTACGACTGAAAGTGACAAACAATATAGAAGAAAGATTCTACCTCCAATCGTTCCAAGTTCAACCACATTTTTGTCAATTTCAGCTACAATGGATTTTAGAGCATATTTTCCTTTTTCCCATTTCTGCATTTCCTTCTTGCATTTTTTCAATTCAGCGGCTTCAGCCTTCGAAGCAGCTTTGGCCATTTTCTCTTGCTGTTAAGAAAATCAAATAGATGCCAGATATATCAAAAAATGAAATCAAATGTCTACACAAACACAAATAAATCCAGACACATGAAAACACAAGCAATTTTAGTGAAATACTTCTTTGAGCCTTTTCTTTTCTTCCATCAGACGAAGTCTCTCCTCCTTTGATGGTCTCTTTGGTTTAACTATTACATCTGCTTTCTTTTTCCCTTTCACGTAGCACACAGTGTTGTTTTGTTGACTCGAGATTTGGTCTGGGGAGTCTATTTTACAAGCATTGTCATCAGCGTCATCACATGCCTACAGACATATTCATAAATCCAATTAAAAAGATATAATACATCAAAAGGAATAAATCTTAGGATTCAAGCCCTGGGTGACATAGATGATGAAAATCTCTATCACAGTCACAGATAAACAAACATACAAAGTTTTAGTAGTATATAGGCATGTCAAAGGAAACTAAAAATTTAAATATTTGGGGCACATATGAGCTGCTGCTTCTCTGTGCTGCAGACTTACTTATGTAAGCTCATAACAACCAAGTAACAAGCTTAGCAAAATTTAATGTCACCCACAAATCAGCTAATAAAGAAAATTGTAGGAAAAAATCCCAAAAGCAGCATAGTAGTTACAACATACAAAGTGATAGATTTTTTATAACTTTACATATACGAAATTGCTCACAGAAATGAGAAGATGCACATAATTAGTCCAAAGCGCTACAGGTTCATATTAAATTAAAATGTTGGTTCGAGGACAAAGTTTGCAGAAAATAGAAATCTATGACATGATAGATGACTATGATCCAATCTCAAAGTATAATAATTTCAGATATTGACCATGCTCTTTTCTGGTCATCAGATTCTAATTTACTATTGTAAAAGTGTCACTTCTTTATTGTATGCCGCAGATGCATAGGATCTTCATCTAATAACAAAGTCAATCATCAAAAGATATAGGCTATATGATTGCTAAGGAAATAATTTCTGAGCTAAACTGGTGAATAGTAATATGCATTAAAAAAACCCACCACAAATATGCCATCTTCCATGACACCTGGACTTGAACACCCATCTAATATGTGCACTGTAACTGGAGTCTGCAAGTGTTTCTTCTGGAATTGCACTGAAGTGCCTGAAAAATCATTTAATCAACTAAGAAAATGTTTTTTCTCTCCATTCGAGTGGGTAGTGCTAATAGGATGACAATATCAAGCAACAGACATGTGATAAGGAAAGGTACCAAGAGAAAATGAGGACTCCGCATTTCTAGAGTCAAATTCCAGCTCATCTGTCGATTTAAAAGCAAACCCACTTTCATCAAGTTTCGAAGCTCCAATTCCACCAAGATTTTCAGACTCGTTATCTGACTCCAGGGCTATGAATCCACTGGCTTCTGAAAACGTCATTACTTGATTACCATCACATATTAAGGCTGAAGAGAGTTGGAAAATATTGAACTGCGTTAAGGTGTTTTATGAGGAAAACATCATGCAGCAAGATACCCCATAACAGCAGCATATAACTCATATATTTCATCCATGTGTTAGTACATCTTATAATTGATTTGAGAAGTATGTACCATCGAAGGGAGAACCCAATTTTGTAAGTGAAATACGCTTTCAATGCATACAAAACATGGTGAACACACCCCATGTTCATAGTTATGTTATAAAACATGAGAATATCAACTAAGAACAAAATATGCCATGCAGCTACTTGTGCGCCATATTTTTTCAAGGAATGCAAAACCCGTAGAATTATTGAGCAAAAACATAGTATATCAAGGCCCAGATAATCACTATTGTGTTTCATGGGTTCCACTTGGGGAGATTTTTTCCTTCAAGGAAAGAACTTGAAAATTTACCAACTAGATAATGAACCCTATAAAGAAGTAAACTTTATCTAATTCAAAACAACAAAAATCCAAACTCACCAGCAGATTTAGGCTTTGACATCACATATGCATTGTCACTATCAGGGACTCCTACGTCACGTTTAGTCAGCAAGACTTTAGACTTCAAAAGCTCAGACATTGGAGTGTCAGCAACTACAAGTTGCTCGGTAGCAAAATCTTCAACTGAACATACAAGAAATAATATTTCAGAAACGATATCAGGTTTTTCAACTCCATGTGCACTGATTGCAAATATTCCAGAAGCCATTTCGTTCTATTTTGATATCATTGTGCATAAAAATGAAAAGAACGAAAATAAAAATTCACTTGAAGAAATAAGAAATGTCTGACGCTGATAAGAGCCACATACTAGAACATGCCCAAAACAAATCCTTAAAACGAAATTGGGTAAACGAAACCAAACACGCTCTGGCACTACATAGCGGTAACACAAGTGGGGCGTTGAAATATTACCGGAAAATGAACATTTTCTTGTGGAACATTTGACGATTGAGGCATCAGAGAACGGCGTCTCAGCGACGAATGAAGGAGTTGAGGACGCAGGGCCTGAGGTAGACGGGTTTTTTTTACATGGCGTGGGGTCATCGTCAATGATGAGGACGTTTGAATTACTAGGGTTTGAAAATGTTTCTATCCTTTGTTTCTTCTTCGATTGGGGGTAGGGCGGCGGAGTAGTTAGGTCTATGGCATCGTTAATGAAACTCTGCCGCCGGTCGCCTTCGGAATCGGAGTCGGACAGAATGTCTACCGGAATTGGCTGTGACATTTCGACGTCACTACGGACAGCACACACCAGTAGGCATTAGCAAACTCTAGATGTGCTTTGTTTTCTAAACTTGCGCGGGATGTGAAGTGGGTTTCGTTCGTGGGTGGTGGAATACGATGGCTTTTCCCATAAAAAAAAAAAAAACCTTTTCCTTATGAGAAGTCACGACACTATATCTATCTATACTTATATTAAAAGGGTACTATTTACCAAATTAAGTAGTCAGAAAAATCAACAGCATTTATTGTATTACTATTTTCGTATTATACTATATAAAAAGATATTTTATTTACTACATTTACTATCTAGAAAAGTCAACTGCATTAAATGTCATTACTATTTTGATATTATAATATTTTATTTATTTAATTTATTTATTTTATTTTAAAAAGATAAGTATAATAAAAAGATTTTAATAATAAAGAAATCAAATATCAAATAAAAATGTACACTTTGACTTATTTGATTATATTTGGTATTTGATTATACCAAATATATTCCTATATATATATACATTAAATACTTACTAAAGTATTTATTTGTTTTATTTGTCAAAGTTAAGTATAGATTTGTTTATATTATCGAATCATAAAAAAAATATTAAATCCATATTGTAAAAAAAAAAAAAAAAACATATAATTTTATAACAATTCTACTACACTATTTAACAATATTCTTTTTTTATTATATAATAAAATAATAATTAAATATTATATGGTGAACAACAATAAGTAAAACTGTTACTTTCTCTTATATTAAGGGATAATTTATATGCTAAAATTAATTTTTTATTAGTATAAATATTTTAGTAAGATAATATATTAATTATTTTACAAGCTAGCCCTAACATGCTCATATTTAATGTTTTAAAAGATGTAGAAAAAAAAACTTATAATAACTCTATTAATTTTTAGACTTAAACGTTGATTAAAAGGGGTAAAAATTCTTAATTTTTTAAACTTAAACTTTGATTAACAACATAGATTGAGAGTTTTTATATTTAGTAAAATTCCTAATTGTAATAAAAAAATTAATTTTTGCTACATTTTAGAATATCTTTAAATTCATTATAAAAAAAAGAAAGAAAAAAACTACAATGAAAAAAGCAAGTCAACTATATATCAATTTGTTGTACTCCTCAAATCATATTCACAATTGGGCTACAAGGAAAGGAAACTCATTGATTAAAATATTATTTTGTCAGTAGTCTTAATGTACAAGAGACTTAAGACTCCACTTGAATATTATAAAACTTTTACTGAACATTGTACAATTTCTTGCGTATTATAAACTTTTATTGAATATTGCATCTTATAATATAATATTCTCCAAATAAATATATCTCGTGTTTCGCACGGGTCACGTACTATATATATCCCGTACATTTTTCTTTATTCATGTATATAATTATAAGCCTGGATAAATAGCCTTAAAATTGTGCACCCCGTGCATCGCACGGGCTCTGTACTAGTTGTTTGTCCCATTTTTGTTGCATTTTTTGTGCTCGTTTCGTTTTTCCTTTCCCCCCATTTTAGGTCGTTTCTTTAGTTTTTAGTCCGTTTTGTGTTTTATTATGTGTTTTCCTTCATCTTGAGTCCTTAGGTGTTTTTCGTTTGTTTTTCCGGTTTTCTTTTGTGTTTTGTCGTTTTTGGTGTGTAGGTCAGGAGCTTTGGGCGAATTTTCTCTTCAGGAAAAGTTGGTTTTGAAAGCATAACTGGATAGATGGGTTCGTTGGTGACGCATAGCAAAAAACGGAACTCAATTTCGAGTTCGGACGAGCCCAAACGAGCTCGAAACGTAAAGGAGCGCGCAGCTGCCCAGTTTCCTTCACCGCGGCCGCGGAGGTCTCAAAATTCACACTTTCTGCGCAGATGAGGTCGCGGTCGCGGAGCAAGTCGCGGCCGCGGAGGTCACGATTCAACCCTTAATAACCTGTTTCTGCGATTTTTGACAGGGGGAGAAATTGGGGGCGATTGGGTGCGAACCCTAGCTCGAAAAACCTCTTCTCCACTCTCCATCTTCTTCTTCTTCTTCTTTTTCTTCTCTTCTCCTCTTCTCCATCTTTCTTCTCCATTTTTCTTTCTTTTTTCTTTCTTTTCCATTTTAGGGATTAAGCTTGTATTTTGGATTCAACTTTCGGATTGGATTGATTGTAAGTATTTTTCATCTCGTTTAATTCATGAGAATGATTATTTGGGGTGAATTTCTTTATTGTGTTGAATTCATGCTACTTAGCTAAATCTTATTGCTAGGGATTGGGGATGATTGTTCTCGTTTAACGTGTATTTTTCGGGCTTGATTCGTTTGTTCTTGTGCGAGTAAATTTAATTAGGACTTGATGAATTCTTGCTTGATGAATTGATATAACCTAAGAGTGACACTTAGGTTAATTTATTGATATAATCGAAGAGTGACACTTCGATTTTGCGCTTGAATATTGATTTGTTGAGTTAGGGTTTATTGATCCTACATGATTAGTTGATTAAACATCTTCTAATTGAATTAGCGACTTTTAGAACCGAAAGAGGAGAAGTCGTAGACCTAGGCTCGCATGAGATAGATGATTTCGTAACTGAATAATCTATGGGTTTTGGATTGAAATACATGTTTGTCGGTGTCTTGTCCCTTGTTACGAAAAGTTATTGGGATTGGGTACTTGGCCGGTATTGTATGCTCAAACTTGCTCGTCTATGTTCAATTCCATGTTACGAAGAGTTATTGGGAGTGAACCGTAGACGTGTAGGCGAGAGTGTCAATTCCGAACCGAACGATCAATTGCCTGGCTTTACGTTGCGAACTTGAATAAATTATCCCCGATTCCCTAGTTTCTTTATTACTATTTAGTTGGTATTTTAGGATTTATGCTTTTATGCTATTTCTTAGTTGATAGTTAATTCCTCCCCAATCTGATTAGAGTGTTTAGGATTTTTTATTTTTATTTTTTGTGTTACCAATACCAATTCTAAATTCCGAACCGCCTTCCTCGAGAGATCGACCCGGGAAACGAATCCTTCGATTCGGTACTCGGTAATATAACAATTTGTACACAACAATATATAACAAGTAAACCATACCATATTCGTTGACTTCATAGCAAAACTGCTTTTCACTAACTAAAGCGTTGACCATCTCAACAAAACCATCTATAATTCCTTTCTTTGCACACATACTATTCTTATCCACCATCCACCATATATATAATTGCAGAATGCGTTCAACCTAAGTGGCATGCTCTCACGCTTCGAAATCCTATGTGGCAAAAAACTATGCTTCGAAGTCAGGCTTGGATATAAATTAATATTTTTTATACAAAAATAAGTATGCTTGAATTTAATTTAATGCTTATATCATTCATATTAAATCCTAGTTTATCTCTTTCTTATTTTATTCTACAGTAACTTACCATAAACTATTTTAAGTTTTATTTTCCTACATTACCATATATTAAATTTCATTTTCTTATTTAATTAATACATCAATTATTATAAATGTTTATTCTTATTATTTTAAAATATTATAACCTTTTTCGTTTGTATTTTTATTTTTATATATGATATATCAAAATATATATCTTTTAACGATCTTCGATCTGGTATCCATATTGTATATACAAGATATAAAACAGTGATATATAGCCTTGTAAATAAAATCTAAAATTATTTATCAAACTAGATTAAAATATATCAAATAAAATTATGTATTATCTTATAAAGCAAAAAAAATTTATGTGTAACATACCATAATATAACTATTTTTATTTAGAAAAAAAAATAAACTAAGTATGAACATCAAATTAATAATAAAAAATATTCTAAAAGTTTATGTCTTGAGTTAAATAAAGACTACATAGAAACATTATAGTCGTGGAAAAAAAAGTAAATAAACATTATAATTAAAATTATAAAAGTAATAGTTTCATTTCCTAAAGTTTAATATATTACACTCATCACATTATATTTTAAATTGTTGAATACTATAAAGTTGAAGATATTTTAAAAAATATTAAATCATGGAGGAAAATTGAATAAATNCACATATTCTTCTTCTTTGTGCCAGCATTTTACTATCATTTGATTCTTGCTCTTCCTCCCTACATTTACCACCATTTAATTTTTCTTCATCTTCCTGTCTACACTCTACTGTATTTCTTTTTGTTCAAGCTTTAACGCCCCATGTCTACTACATTTTTTTTCAAACTTATTTGGCTCTTAATCTTCTTTCTTTTAAAAATTACACTTCAATGACTACCAATCGCGTTAGAGTATGTGTGCACTATGACGGTTCGTTTACCCTAGGTAATTATGTTGGTGGTGTTGCAGAGCTGATGAGAATAAATTGTGGCCAACAAATGTATTCTGAAGTGTCTTCTGGTGCTCAATCATTATTAAAGGTCAATCCTGGTAATTTGATTACATATTGTGGGCCACATTTGAGGGAAGTCCTCGAGTTACGAAGATAAAAATCAAATCCAATGACGACATCGTAGAGCTGATTCAAAAACAAAGTACTCCCAACATTTGCGTCGAGTTAGAGCAGCGACTAAATGCAGAGAGTATGGGGACGGGGCAACATTCATGCAAGTGATGGCGTCCAATGATGTATGTCAGAGTGTTTTGGTTTTGGTAGTTCTATAGTTTCCGACGAGCCCTCATATTCATATCAAGCAGACAACTCTTTTCACCCAGCAGGTCCTAGTTCGTTTACACATACTGAAGAAAACCCTTGTTTATTTACGTAGGCCGCTAATGATCAAACCGGGGCTTATTCGGATATGACCCTGGGTTGGATGATACACGTGATTGCTCAAACCAAGTAGTTCATTCTTGTGACGACAATAATGTTGATGACCAACCCAACACGCACAATGATGATTCTGGCGAATAACTACCCATTATGAGTGAGGAGCAAGTGTTTAAGACTTTCTAGGCGTGGTTTTGTGAGAATCTTCAACAAATTAGATTAATACACCATCTTGATGTTGAAGTCTTCTATATATGCATTTAGGTAGCACACAACTAATCGACATTGAGCCATGAATGTGGTCCGTTCCTATGCCGCCAACGACAACTAGGTCAGATGGAAAACACATCTTTTTGTCCTCAAACAATATAGAATTATGCTTGGGGTCTGTCTTTCTTTCAAAAGATGAGGTGGTTTATGCATCAATCTTTATCACGTGCAACAAAAGCTTGAGTGGCGAATACACAAATCCTGCAAATCTTGGTTAAGTTCAATTTGTCATTATGAAGGGTGTTCTTACAAGTTATGTGTGAGGGCAGATGAAAACATGTGGAGAATCACTACTTTGAAGCTCGAGCTACATGTAAGGGAATTTGTCACCCAATCGACAACGTGTAAAAACAAACAGTTTCTCCGATTCATGCTAATTAGTGATTAGTTAAGCAAATTCATTTTTTAATAATTTTTCTGGTATATGTACAAATAAATATAACAACTCAAGTTATTTTCCTATAAAAATTAAAATGGATGTAATTTTGTAATAAAAGAGATATAGTTTAGGGTGTGGCTGGATTTAAAATTGACTAGTAAAAAACCAATCAAAACTCAAATTTAATTCAACTTTAATAGTAACCACTATTTTCAATATAAATAAATAATATCAACCAATTATTCTTACATATCACATCAATTTTAATTCGTTATTCATCAAGTCACATAATTTTAACCAACTATCAATTTCAATCATTTTCTCCTACTTTTACATAAAATCAATTGTAATTATTTTATATTAAATATTATTTCAATTAAGCTTAAATTTTCACTAACAACTAACTATACTAGTTTTTTTAAATTAATTATAATTAACAAAAACACAAATCAAAAACAAAATCAAATCTATACTTATATAAAAAGAATTACTATTTACTAAATATAGCAATCAAAACAAATTTCAAAATTTCTAAATAAGGAAGGGATAGAAGTTTAAATAAAATATGGTTGTTTTAACAAACTTATAGGGAAAACAGAAAAAAAGTAAAATATAAAAAAATCTTTAATTCAAATTCATTTGTTCACAATTTTCTTATAATTTTCATGCAAATCTTTAATTCAAATTCAAATGTTAACAATTTCCTAATAACTTTTCTACAAAATTGTCCGCATAAATAATGATAGACATGAAATTTAGTTATATTGTTGGAATAAAAAACTTAATAACGAAAAAAAAAAAAAATTGGGACTATGTTTACTTGAAAGACTATCAACAAGTGTACAGATTTTTAAATTCACTTTCAAATTGAAACTTTAAATTCGTACTCAAATTGAATTGAATAATATAATTTAATTATAAATGTAGGAGTTTCTTAGAAAAAAAACTATCAAGCAATTTGCATTGATTTTCAAAAACACATAAATACTGATTTCTAAAATTATGGGGATTATTTACTTGATATAGATTATGACCACGTGTACAGATTTTAAAATCATCATGAAATTCAAATTGAAATAATATGATTTAATTAGAATTGTAAGAGTTTGTTAAGAACAAAAACTCTCTGTGAGTTTGCATTGATTTTCAAAAACAAATAAATACGGATTTCTTTTATAAAGAAATCATTTATTCGTATTTCATCATAAATCCCAAAGATGTGTACTTTGTTGATACGTGTTTGAATAAAAATCTTAATAACAACAAGATTTTAAAATCATTACATAAAATTGATAAATGAAGTATATGCAGCGTAGATTTGTTAAGTCTCCGTTTATTTTATACATTTGAATACAAATTTTGATAATGAGATTTTAAAATTATTATATAAAATTGATAAATGAAACATATGCATAAAGCATGTAGTTATTAAGCCTCCGTTTATTTTATACTCAAATTGATGACGAAATAATTTTCGGTATCATCTCAATATTTATTATATATATAATATGTAAATCTTCTCTCAATTTTAATATTTTAGACATAAATTTTTTTTATGTTCTTTATATAAGATAATTTTATATTATTATAATAGACTATATAAAGTAAATTTTATCACATGTAACCTCACATCTTTAATTTATAATTATAGTTAATATTGCTTATCCTTATATTTAGTTTATAATTAATATTAGTATTATTATTATTATTTTTGGTACAATGAAAGAGGCCGTAAGTCTATATTAGGACTCGACGGGGATACGACACTCCAATAATATCATGCTCTAACCAAATTCTCAGAACCGAAGACGGGAACCTACTCGCTGAAGGTTGGGATTATTAGTATTATTTACCCGTGCATAGCACGGGCTACACACTAGTTCATATTCAATCAAGTGTGCAGGGTAATTTTCTCTTTCATCAGCATAATAATGGTTGGGCTAGGCCTCACCACCAATAAAAAATCCCAAGTTCAACTTCCGTCAAAATACCAAGCCCAAATTAACTTTGTCAATGTGGTCCATGCCCAAATTACATCATATAGCTGTCTCAGTATAAAAAAGTCAAAGAGCGGAACGCAGTACAGTTCAATTTTCCATTCGACCAAAACCCTAATTTTGCCTTGGAGCCAGGGTTCCGATAAGATAATCCAGTGAATTCTGGAGCTGAGCGAGCTTCGCCATCTCCGGTAAGGTAAAATTTTGGAAAAGGATGGATTTTGACGAGTACGATTACCTGGAGAAAGCCGTGGAGGAGACCAACGGCGCGGCGAAGGAGACTCCGGACAGGGAAAAGGAGCGAGAGAGGAGCGAGAGGGGATACAGAAGGAGAGACAGAGGCGAAGAAGATGAATTTGATGAAGAAGAGAAGGAAAGGAAGAGCAGCAGCAAGAAATCTCGGAGTGAAGCCAACGGGCGAGAAAGAGAGAAGGAGAGGGATCGCGATAGGGATAGAGATAAAGAGAGAGACAGAGATAGAGAGAGAAGCTCGAGACATAGGAGTCGAGAGCGGGATTCAGACAGAGAGAGACGAAGTTCAAGGGATAAAGAGAAGGAGAGAGATAGAGAGAGGGATAGGGAGAGGAGGGATAGGGATAAAGATAGGGAGAAGGAGAGGGACAAAGAGAGGGACAGGGAGAAAGAGAGGGAAAGGGAGAGGGAGAAAGAGAGGTCGAGGAGGAGCCGAAGCAGATCCATGCTGGAACGAGAAAGAGAAAGGGATTTGTTGAGGGAAAGGGAGCGTGAGGANTTAGTTGTTTTTTTTCACTGTTCTAGTGTGTATGAAATTTGATTTACTTTGTGTCATCTTGCTCAATATTTGATTGGGAACAGGTTTGCTATGATCGTAAGTAAGTATACATGATGTTTTACCCTTTTTTTGTTTTCATTGTTTCATGGTTTCATTTTCTCTTACTGGTTTAAGAGAGCGGGTGATGCCTTTGCTGTCCTTGTTTTGGGTTCCTCGGTATTTCGTCAGTTTGGCTGAACTTCGAGAATTTAGATTTTGTTTGCTCACATTCTGGTACATTTGGCTCTTAATGTGTTGTTTTTGAGTGAGTTCTGGTTAAATAATGAAGCAATCATGTCCATAAAATTTATATAAGATTAAACTGAAAATGTTACCCTCTTGCTTTTCTATCATTATATTGGGGCTGTGACATGTAAGAAACCCATTAAAAAGGGTATAGTGCAGAAAACAGAAGTGAGTTTATGCATAGAGGATGTAGTATTCTAACTTGGGTTGAAATCGTAGATGGATTGTTTGCATCTTATTGGGCTAACAATGCGGAAACCCCTTGAAGGCTTGTTCACACAAGAAAGTGGATTTCCACATTGAGTTCCATGAGGTCTGTTATGTTACTTCGTTTTGGGCTTTTGAATTTGACACATACTCCTTCCAATGTTTTGTATAGCTGGTTTTTAGGTACTTTCTTGCCTTTGAGCTGAGATGTTGACCAATGGTGTATTCAATTTTTAGGTTGGCAACGCCTGTGGTGAAGCTGTGTCAGTTTCCAACATTTTGTTCACTTCCAAGACGAAAATGCTTTACCTCCATTAATGTGGCCTTCCCTTTGCTTTGAACAGGAATTTTGAATGACATATTTTATTGGCTGGGGTCTAAATATAAGATATAATTATGGTCTAGCATTTAACATAGCCTTTCTCAAACTTGAGTTTCATTTGACTTGATATTTTTCCTGAATTCACAGGATAAACTGTACCCATGAGATGATGAAGTGGTGACTCATTCATATTTGTCCTGCTGGAACATCAATAGAAATATTTCCTAAGAGGCCTTTAGTATAAATCAATGATTTGAAGGATTTCTTAATTTGGCACTGGTTTTAAATCTGAAATTAATACTATTTGTGTTAAGGCATTGAACAATTGATTATTTTAAAGCCTCGAAGTGTCTGTTTTGGGCAACTGGAATGTAAAGTTCTTCTTTTCTGTACCGATTTCTGGTACTGTTGTGCATCTGAGGATCGTCTTTTGCTGCCCAGCTAGAGTATTGGCTTGCCAGTCATTTTGATTAAAGCTTGTTACAGCATAAGCCTGTCTAAATCTTTATGTTCTGTTGTCTTCGTGATTCGTGTTATTAAAATTACGCTCTGGTCTAGGATTAGCCTTTTCTGATACATAAACAAGTGCTTTGAGGATTTGTGTGGAGTGATAGTACATGAAATCTGGGTGAATGAGGATGCATTTTTTGTGATTATATTTTTCGTCTGGCCTCTAACACTCTAATAAGACTGAATTCATTTGAATGCTGACCTTCTCTTGTTATTGGATTTCTTCTCATTTTTCTTTGAGTCATCAATGCAGGAGATTCAAGGATAAAAAGGAAGCTGTGGAGCCTGAAGCTGATCCAGAAAGGGATCAGAGAACTGTTTTTGCGTATCAGGTATTAATTTTACAAGTATTCTGGTATCTCAATCGTCCGCTGAAATCTAAACTCGTTGATTCTTACATTCAAACATTTTGGTCCCTGTGCCCATCATATTATTAACGACAGTTCTTTAATCTTCTCACTGCAGATGCCGCTGAAGGCGACTGAGAGAGATGTCTTTGAGTTCTTCTCGAAAGTTGGGAAGGTTGGTTTACATACTTGCAGATAACAACCTGAACCTAGTTATCAATGATCTTTTGGGGACATGTAATAATTGTTCACAGTAGCTTCTCGTGCTCAATGATTCTTTATTCGATATTATTGGTTGATCCCATAAAAAGTTGTTACTCTTTCTTTATTGTAATTATTGTTTGCTTCTCTAAATAACTCTTCTGGAGATGTCTGCATTTGAGTGGTGTGGATCTCAAATCAATAGCAAGTAATATACTGACTTTCTTTAGAAAGATGGAGAAAATTTAAGCTTTTGTGTGTTCACTGCCATTCATACAATGATACTATGCATTTATCTTTTCATCTTTTGTTGATTTACTTTGTTTTTGAACTAATATTTATTAATTTTCTCAGGTGAGAGATGTAAAACTAATTATGGACCGGAACTCAAGGCGATCAAAAGGAGTTGGGTATGTGTTCCTTATTTTTATTTTGGTATTATTATACCCTATTCCCCTGCCCATCCGAATTCACACCCCCCTTCGAATAGGCTCATTTGTTGATTTCTCATTTCACGACATTGATGTTAATTGGTTATCGTTTTTTCTTATAGGTTCTGAATAGATTTCCTTCCACTTAGTGCTGCTTTTTCTCAAGGTTTAAAAGCATGTTCTGGAGTAAAAATTGCAGCTCTCACTTTTTTTTCCTGTTATTTATGTATCTATTGCAGCTTGCTTTGTATCCTATTGTAGAATGTTCTGAGGCTTCTTCCTGTTATTTGTGGTGGAATTTGATATTCAAATGTCCAATATATGATTGTTTATTTTTTCATTTGTTGTTGATGGCAGATACATTGAATTTTATGATGTTATGTCTGTGCCGATGGCCATCGCTCTGTCTGGCCACCTATTTCTTGGACAGCCTGTAATGGTAAAACCTTCAGAGGCAGAAAAGAATCTTGTTCAATCCAATACTACTACTGGTGGTTCAGGAGTAACTGGACCATATGGTGTAACTGACAGGAAGCTCTATGTTGGCAATCTGCATTTCAATATGACAGAATTTCAGCTCAAACAGGTATGCTACTCGATGGGGATATCTATTGGCCCTGCAGTTAATTGTTGTGTTGTTACCATGTTTCTGCCTATGCTTCTTTGTACTATATGCTGTTGGGGCAACGAACTGACCTTTCTGTGCAGATTGTTCCTTTTATAACCATCTGCCCTTTTGGCTGTACTTGAAGAGTAGTTTTCCACTCAACTCAAAGTCTAATTGCATGGGCAGTATATTATGATTACATATAAGCATATAACCGTAGATTCCGTTTGCACAGAGTTGTTGAGACATTTAGTCGTCCACTACTCTAAGTGACATACTGTGGTTGATCATGTTGCTGTTTTCCTTGTTATTGTTTTTTCTTTTCTTTTTATTTTTAGAATAAATTTGGTATATTAACATGCTAGTGAGGAAATTCAACCCAACTTTTGGTAGTATGTAAAATAAAACATGGTTTGTAGAGTTGGGATTCTGTTATTTGCTAATGATTGTTTGCATTGTTCTTTTTATGTGCTGACATTCGTGGTAACACTTGACCATTGCATTTAGTTGCCACAATTACGCTGGTTTCTTTTATATGGCCTTATTGACTGCTTTTCCATGTACGAGTACGATAGGAACCATAGCCTGAATCTTTTTGATATATTCTTTGGCCTGTGACCATCACCTATCTGCAAAGCGGCAATTGTCACTTATTTGTTGTTTTTTAGTTCACTTCTATGTTCTGTGTTTTGTAATCAGTTCTGATACTTGAGTGTTCTATTTCTTTCCTTAAAACGTTCAATTTTCTGATGTTGGGCCTAGTTTTGTTGGCTATTTGTTTGTTGTGCTGTTTTATTTTTTCAGCTAATTCCAATCTTGATCACAATTCTTTTCCCTAGATTTTTGAAGCATTTGGCCCAGTTGAGCTTGTGCAACTTCCTACAGACCCAGAGACAGGACATTGCAAGGGTTTCGGATTTGTTCAGGTCGGTATTTTATGGATGCAGTTCTGTGGATAGTTTATATGTTTCTTAGTCACTAACAACTTTTATGTTTCAAGTATCTAATAATAAAATTCATGGATTTATTGCAGTTTGCGCAAATTGAACATGCGAAGGCAGCTCAAAGTTTAAATGGGAAACTGGAGATTGCTGGCCGGTTCATTAAGGTATTGTGAGTTGGTTATTGGTGATCTCATTCAGCTGATCCGATAATTCTTCATCATGAACTACGTTCTAAATTATTTGTTCGTGGGTAGCTTTTATGTGACATTGCCCAGCTTGACTTTGCTCTTTACTATTTCAGGTTTCCTCCGTCACGGACCATGTTGGAGTACAAGATTCCGGAACGAAAACTGCAGATTTTGATGACGATGATGGTGGGGGTTTGGTGAGTAAATCTCTAGAATTATGTTTCCGGTTAATCAGTTATATAATTGTTAGATATTGATATGCTGTTTTGTTTTATCTTATTTTATACTTAATTTTTCTGTAATTTTAAAGAAGAATTTGTTAATTATGAATAGCTGAGAACAGCTTGAGATGCATCCCATGCAGCCAATGGCAGGCTGATATATTGAGCAGAATTGCTCCCAGCTTAAAACCGCCAATACTATTTAAAAAATTAACCTAATTGATTAATCTATAATCTATATCTGTATTGTACTTAAATAGAGAAATTACCTTATACGGGCCTGACACCTAATTATTTAATGAAATAAAATAATAAAATAAGACATCAGTGAAGTTGATCTCTAATGGATATTGTTTGGACCTATGAGCTATTAGATTTCCTAGGTTCACAAAATTGCTTTTACTAAACTGTTTGGTGTCATGGTTTAGGATCCTCAGATCATATTTCTGGACTACCATGTATACATTACAGACCCTCACTTGCAGAGCAGACCCCAATGTTGAATGTTTAATGTGGCTCCTGATCCATTCTCCTTGGTTTACGGGTTGTTGTAGTATAGAGTAGGAAAATGGTCCTCCTCAACAAACTCTGGCATTAGAACCTTTTTACATACCTTTTCTGTGTTTATGATTTTGATAAAGATGAAAAACAATATGATGTCTTCGTAGGATCAGAGATTGAATTTTATTTCAAATTTGAGAAATGAAGTAAAAAAATCATCCTTGTTTAGAACCAAAATTCTTTCAGGCTTGGAGAGTTTATTGTGTTCTCTTGAGTTTCATCTCTAGCCTACCCCAACTTGCTTGGGACTAAAAGGCTATGTTGTTGTTGTTTGTTTGTTTTTGGAGACTTTATTGCATTCTGCATGTTGTCATCTGAAAAATAAAAGCATGTGTTCTCATCTGTGAAATCCTCAACCTTTGCAGTCGCTAAATGCTCAGTCCAGAGCCATGCTCATGGCAAAGCTCGATCGTAGTGGTATTGCTTCAAGGTGTGTGTATTATACTAATCAGATAGAGTGAGTGTTCAATCAATATTTTTTTTTAATGAAATGTGAAATGCTGACTTGATGTCATTCCATAGTGTTGTGGGTCCCGGTGGAGTACCTGCAATGAATGGAGTGGTTCCCCCTTCACAACAAGCAATCACAATGCCTATAAATCCTGCAGCGATCCTTCCGAGTCCTGCTCTTCCTGCACAGGTTCTTACCATGGTCCCTGAACCTATTGGAACTCCCAGTGAGTGTTTACTGTTGAAGAATATGTTTGATCCAGCCACTGAGGTTAGTCTTTCTTGCTGTTGCCTGCAATGAGGAAAGTTTTGCATTCATTTTACATTTTTTTTTTGAAATTAAATTGTAATGTAAAAGTGATGTTATTGCAGGATGATCCTGAGTTTGACTTGGACATTAGAGATGACGTGCAAGAGGAATGTTCTAAGTATGGACGGGTCAAACATATTCACGTTGACAAGTAAGAATGTTGCGTCTCTCTCTAATTTAGTCAGTTTCTTGTAAAAATTGGTATGAGAAGATCATAGTACCCCAGGAAATATTTCAAACTACTTAGGGAACAAAAGAATAGTTTCGCTACCCTAACAAGTGGCAAACTGTTTGAGCTCATCCCTAAATTTTTTCTTTTGATCTGGAAAAGTGTCATTCTTACGAATCACTATTGTCAGCTTATACTAATTTAAAATGTTGTGTATTACTAGTCCCGTTTCTGACAAATAAAACAAAAGTACGAACATAAGAAAATAAAATATGGAAATTATGAATGAAGTGAGGATGTTTTCATCGTGCATCTGATGAATTGTTCTGTTGACTTGCAGGAATAGCGCTGGGTATGTATATCTGAGGTTCGATAGTGTGGAAGGAGCATCACGCGCTCAACAAGCAATGCATAAAAGATGGTTTGCTCGTAGAGCAATCTCCGCTATATTCTTGGTAATGTACTTTGACTATGCGCTGCGGTGCTGCAAATCAGAATTTCGTGTATTCTTTGACTAATCTCCACTAATTAGCACTAGCGACAAGTATCCCACGAGGATTGAATCAAATAGTGATTATTTTGTATTAATTGAAGTGACAAGAGTTTGGTTATTTAGTAAACTAAACCTAATAAAATCTTAATGAACAAAAATGTAATAAAATTCCAACAAAGAATGGAATCAAAACTAATATATGGAGAAGAATTTTAGTTCACCGACCATGGACAAACTTAGAATACACTACAATTAAAGCAATAGTAGGTTTGGGATATGAGAAAATAGGCTACTCTTTAAGTAATAGATTCACACGTTTGACCTATAATTAGACTGTATTATACCCTATAGTACTTGGCTAGAAGTTGCTACTAGTGAATTAGACTCGATAGAAATTATGGATGAAGGTTCAATTCTAGTTATAAATTAACGAAACCCTACCCATCTAAATTTGAGTGAACATCTCATAGTTGGTAGTTCAAACCAATCTAAATTCTTAAGGGTTAATTGCAGATAAAACCCTAACCTTTTGTTAAATTGCAGATAAAACTCCACTTTATAAGTTTGGCAAAGAAAATACTAACATTTCATAAGTGTTGCAATTGTGTCTCAATCGCCACCCGCCGCCGCCACCAGCCAACTTCGCCGGAATTTTTACATGATCTTGTAGCACTTTTCCGTGCCGACAACATATCCGAGTTTCACGAAAAAAATTCCGACGAAGGTCAAAGCTCGTAGATCTACAAATTTTATTCGGCTCTTTTGCAAATTTCCGGTGACTCGCTTTGACCCACGTGAATCCGAAGGTACCGTTGAACTCCTCTTGCAAAGCCGCATCTAGTGACGTCCACCTTCGTCGGAACCGGTGACTTTTTCCGGTGATGACTTTTCCGTTCATCTCCTTAACGTCGGAATTTTTTCGTGAAACTCGGATATGTTGTCGGCACGGAGGATAGCTACAAGATCATGTAAAAATTTTCAACATCCGGCGAAGTTGGCCGGCGGCGGGTGGTGGTTGAGACACAATTGCAACACTTATGAAAGGTTAGTATTTTTTTTTGCTAAACTTATAAAGTGGAGTTTTATCTGCAATTTAACAAAAGGTTAGTGTTTTATCTGCAATTAACCCAATTCTTAAAGCTTAGTTTAGTTTCTCATAGTAGGTTAGTTTAATCCAAACTTTGACATGTGCATATATAGATTGAGTTTCAGTCCTACTTCAGTAAGACTGACTTGATAATAAAGTTAGCCTTGACTAACTACTGCCTTTCTTTAATTCACCATAAAAATGTTATACATCTTTTCTCTGTCTCCTGTAAACAGTTCTCAGGTTTGTCTGCTTCGACTTTCTGTATTTTTAACAGCAGTTAGCCAGTTACTACTGATCGAAAGGAATTTTGTTAATCCTAATTGTATTTGGTACACACTTGACATCATTTTGTACCTGAATGTTTTTTTTCTCTCGTTTTGCAGCAACCTTATGAGTATGATGCCAAATTCAAGGGTGCTGTTTGAACAAGTTATTCAATTAAGTGGAGTGTAGTGTCTGATGGTGCTTCCTATATGTCCCCCTCCTAATCCCCTTACACCAAGATATTGAATTCTTATGGTATGCTTGCCCGTAATAGTCTTCTAAACTTTTATTTTTTGTGTTGTGTAATTTATTTTACGGTCCGAGCCTTGTTACTGTCGTGATTTGAGAATTGGTTGTGTACTTGCCATGATGGCTTCTGTTATATTTAAAAAGATTTGACTACTACTGTTCCGTGAAGTTTGGTTAATCGTTCATTATGGTGTGTGCCAGAAGTTCTATTTCTTGAAAACAGTATGCCTGAAGTTGAAATTATCTGAATCCAAATATCTTTTCTTTGGCTCGTCGGGGTAAATGTGCGATTAATGCTAGTAACCAGTTTTGAAAGTAGGCTGTATGTGAGGTCAAATAGAATAAAATCGTGTACTCTAATTTCTTCAAGTATAGTGTCACCTGATTTGAAGTTGAGAAGGGGGTTTGTTTGGATGGACAATGTTGGCCGGGGAAAGTATAAATGGTTTATGACTTGGTGTCGTTACGTGATTGGATATGAATCCAACCAGTTTTGCTTGGATTTAGTTGGTTAAAATGAGTTATTTTGGATAAAGTTGATTGTATGGATGATTTTGTATTTGTGATTCAATAATATTTAAAATGTAATAATCAAAGTTGATGTAAAAGTAGGAGAGCTTATTGGACGCGATAATTGTTATAATTATGAGATTGTGCTGTTGTTGGTGGCTTGAATGAGTATGACCCGATCTACAGCAAACAAGTCATGAAGGATCTCAACTCAAATAAATGGATCGAAGCAGCGTAGAGTATAAGTCTATGCAATAAAACAAGGTTTGAGAACTTGTCTCATTGGTTGTATATGGATTGTTAAAACCTAACGTGATGTGATTGGTAATATGGAGAGGTATAGAACACGTTTTGTGGCTAAAGACTATACTTAAAGGGAAGAGATTGACTATAAAGATGTTTTTTTCGGTTTATTTGAAGGACTCTTTTAAAATAATCATGGCTATAGTGGCACATTTGACTTGGAACTTTATCAGATTGATGTAAAGACGACGTTTTTCAATAATCACATTGATGAAATGATTTATATGGTACAACCAGAAAGCTTTGAGGTCGATGTCTTGAAGAAAATAGTTTGTAAATTAAGAAAATCCATCTATGGCTCAAACAAGCGTTTCGACAGTGGTATCACAAATTTCATCAAGTAATTATCTGGAATGGTTTTGAGATGAATTTTGTTGATGGTTGTGTTTATCACAAGTTCATAGGAGTAAATCTATTTTTCTTTGGATAACATTTTGCTTGCCGCAAACGATATGTGCATGTTGCACGAAACTGAGAAATTTATGTCGAGTAACTTCGAGATGAAAGATTTTTGTAAAGCATCTTTTGTATTAGGAATCCAGATACACTGAGAGCGATCTCGAGGTATTCCAAGGTTATCACAAAAGAGTTGTATCGATAAGGTGCTTCAGCGATTTGACATGCAGAACAGCACACCGAGACATACCCTTGTGGATAAAGGAGACAAATTTAGCTTAAGTCAATGCTCAAAGGGAAATTTGGAAATTCAAGTAATGCAAAAGATTCCTCATGCCTCGGCGGTTGGGAGTCTAATTATTGCTCAAGTATGTACGCATTGGATATTGCGTATATAGTTGGTGTGTCAGGTAGATACCTTAGTAATGTTGGATTGGATCAATGGAAAGCAGACAATACGGTGATGAGGCACCTTAAGAGAATTAAGGATCACATGCTCGCATATAAGAGATCAAACCATTTGAAGATCGTTGAATATTCTGACTCTTATTTTGCGGGGTGCTAGGAGAGTAGGAAATCTACGTCTGGGTACGTGTTTATGTTGGCTGGTGGTGTAATTTCCTGGAGTAATATTAAACAAACACTTGTTACCACTTCCATTATGGAAGTTGAGTTTGTGGCGTGCTTCGAGGCATCACACTAGGAAATCTGGTTAAGAAACTTTGTCACAAGGCTGTGATTCATTCCAGAGGTTGAAAGACCTATCAAGATCTTTTGTGACAATAAATCAACTGTTCTATTCTCCAACAAACAAATAACAGGAGCTCGTCCTAGTCATATTGACATCAAGTTCCTAATTGTGAAGGAGAGGGTACAAAGTGGTCATATTTTCATCAAATACTTAGGGACAAAATCTATACTAGGAGATCCTCTAACTAAGGGTGTAACACCTATGGTATTTTACGAGCATACTGCTCATATGTGTGTGTTACATATTGAGGAAGCGTCACTTTAGTGGGAGTATATGCTAACATTCTTGTCATATTTATTCGATGATATATAAAGTACTTATTCTAATCTAAAAGAAAGTTTTGGTTCATGACACTTTGGCATTATGTTTTAGTACTTTACAATCTCATTAAGTTTGGACTAATTGAGAACTGACATGTGATATATCACGTTCATGTAATTTTCATACTAATGTTCCACAGTTAGATCTTGGTCATTTAGTCATGGTGATATATGTGATTATTGGTAATTTAGCTGTGTTTATATGGCGAAAACTGCTTTAGTCTTATATTGTTGTGATTAATTGACTAGATTATTCAAGTTTTGTAATAATGCCATATTTTGAGCTCATAACATATAATGTATTGTCAAGACATATTTAATCTAGTGGAAGATTGTTAGATCTATTTGTAAATTAAATATATGTAATAGATACATTGAGTCATTATATTGTTTAGCCAATTAAGTGATCAAATGACTGTATAGAAATATTGGCTAAGGAATTTAATTTAAATTGTGAAATGATTAAATGTGCACACCCAATAATATTATTATTTGACGACGTAACTAATAAGAATATTAAACTTAAGTGATCAAATTAACAAATAATTTGGGTCAAAATTATTAATGGGTACAATCCTCAAAAGCCTTGATAAATAGTCTTTTGGAATTCTTCATTAAGATAATAAGAAGAAACCGTTCGTCCTTCACCACTCTCTCCATCAATTTCTTCATTACGTCAGATGACCTTTTGGAAGATCTCCAAATTTCAAAACTTTAAAACCCAAATTCATGTTCCGACGCAATCAATCGAGATTAATCCGTCAAGTATGCTTTCGCTATTCGGTTCTCGATTATTTGATATGAATGCTCCTGAGATTATAGCGATGTTTTCGTTCACATAAGGTTAAAATCCAGCAAAATCTTTACAGTTCCACAAAAAACACCAGTTACAGGCATTGCTACTTATGTAAGCTTTCATGGTCAAAGAAATTTGAAATAAAGGATAGCAAGTCCACCAAAACTGACCGAATAAAAATCTGTTTCTATCTTTTTTCCCCTAAAACCTGAGATTTCAGGCCTAGGACCAACATTTACATGCTTTATATTTTATGTATCAACTTAAGTACATATAATGAAGCCTGTCTTTGTGCGCATCAAACTTCTTGCATTTAGAGAATAGAAAATACCACCACAGTTACTTGAATTCGATATCCATCACTGGCTGAACTACAAACGAATTGCTCTCCTCTGAGGTCCAATCAAAATATTCAAGAAGATAATATAAAAAGGCGACTTGAAGCCAAAAATCCCGTAATGTCTTTATGTTCTCACGCTTTCCAAACACGAATTGTTCCATCAACTGAAGCAGTAACCATACAGTCATCCTTTGGGTGATAACTAACGCTTGTTACCTATCAACCAGTAATTGGAAGAGAAAAAGAAAAAGGTACTTAGATTGAAAATGTGAAATTTAACAATAAGGAAAAAAAATGTAAGGCCATCGACAAGTCAGTTTTAAAATGGCATCCTTGAATCTTCTAGCTTAACAAGTGTCAGCCTTAACAATATGTTAATCACTCCCTGGGGTTAAGCCAAAAACCAAGAAAATACTTATCTATCAAAGTTACAGATATCCAAAAATATATATGCTCTGAAGCTTTGTTTGTGTATTACAAAATATTCCCTCAAGAGAGGAGTATTTGTTACAACTTTTAAGATATCTTGATGGATAAGAGTAAGGAGTGAAGAAAATGAAATATGAAATATTATTTCATACGAATGATAACCAGAAGCTTGAAGCTTCCCAAAAGAACTTTTGTTCAACAAGAACTACTCTTGCCCAATAGCTAAAGCTAGTACATTATGTTTCTTATAATTCACCCTTCTCCACTAGAGACCCTATATTTAAATTTAATTAACATAATATAAAAGGTAATAATAGCAGAAGCAAGATAACAATGATCTTCAAAAGACAATCAATCCAGATTCCAAAATCACTCCACAATCCGTAGATTTATTCTTCTTTCCTTGGATGCTTAATTATTATTTACTCTTCAATATACTTCCCCTGATTATGCATTATTTCATGTGATCTCTATCATATCTGGGTTCCTATTAATGGGTTTCTATTAATACACTGAAGACCAGGGTTTGACTCTAACCATCGAAAAAAGCATTATAAACATGTGTCAGCAACACAAGAGAGGGCCTCAAGGGAGTCTTGTAATGATAAGAAAACATCTCAGATGTTTCCTTATTCAATTATAACTTGCAAAAAAAACTTCCCATCAACTTTGAACCATAAGAGTATAAGAACACGATAAAAGAATAAATAAATTGACAACACATAAGAAAAGCAACTTTACCACTGAAGAATGAGCTCGAAAGCTGGAGACAACATTTGCATCAACAAGGTCCCAAAAATAAACATAACCATCTTCTGAACCTCCAGTGATATGGGCGTCTGTGTTTGTTAGGCAGCAGTCCATCTTGAATGACTGATAAAAGAAAGTTAACAATTTGAAATTTAAGCTTGGAACGAGGGTAAAAGCTGCCATAACACTTTAGCAACAAAGAAGTACAAGAGGAAATAAGACAAAGTTGAAAAGGAGTATAAGTTTATTTCATGAGGCAGACATGCATGAGAGTGAACGTAAACAAGAAAGACAGTTTTAAGTATCATCGTAAGTTTCAGGGTGAACCTTGCAAATATGGCCTTTATATTCTTGCAACAATTCGCCAGTAGATCTGCCAGGGAAAATGAATCTATTTGAGTTACGTACAGAAGACCTACGGATTATTCCAAAAGTAAAATTTTAACAAAAGGATTTACCTGTCCAAAAGCCTTAAAGTAGAATCAAGACAGCTGGCTAATACACAGTTGCCATCATTTGAGAGAGCAATGCAGTTGACAGGCTGTCCCAAATTATCAGATATTTCTCTGATGACATCCATGAAAAGGTCACATGTAAGCTTGTATATCATGCATAAAATGGATAAGAAGTTTGAGTTACAAAGGGTGGGGGAAAAATAACAGAAAGATGAAGGAAAACGTATGTTAAATATTTATTGTCATTGTGAAAGCCACGTACCTACCCATTCGGATATCAAATGTTCGAACAGTTCCATCAACGCTTCCAGCAATTATCTCAGATTTTGTTAAACAGACTGACATGACACTATCTGAAAAATTGTCAATAATCTGCAAAATATTGCAAGAAAGTAGATTAGTAAGTAATCGCAAGTCTAAAATGTGAATAGATATTATACAGGAAAAAAATGCTTAATGCAATTAAATCAAGACTTAAGTTCTAACAAAGTATATGACACTATCTGAAAAGGTGTCAATGGTCCGCAAAATATTACAAGTTCCCAAGTTAAGGTCAGTAAGGATGTACTCAACTTATCTACAGCATAGTGGACATAATGCATGGATGCAGGAGCAAGGCTTGGAAAGGAAAAAGAGAGTAGATTAGAAAGTATATGCAAGTATAAAATGAAAATAGAATTTTTATAGAAAAAAATGCTTACTGCAATTAAATCAAGAAGTTGATTCTCCTTGCAGTAAATTATATGCTAAGAAAGATGGAAACCCTGTTCTAATGTAGTCTTTGAATTTTGATGCGAAGTTCAATCCAAAAGTAGACAGAACAGTGAAAGTTTAGAAATTTAAGGATGTTACATATCATAACTTCAAACAACTTTGTTTTGAACATGTCAGGCTAAAGATTTTTTGATTGTCTGAGTGGTTCCATTCAGTTGTTCATACTTCATTTACTTATTTATCTCCACCTATGTCCTTTCTCCTTCTAAATATTTTCTTCTGTTTTCTTGTCTTATCAGTCACATAGCCTGTGACACTTAGATATTTCATAGTTTGCATATGATGGAACGAGGACAGCTTCATTCCCAAATTTATTTGGCATTTACTTCACCACTCAAAAGCCTAAGAAATTTCAGAATTTTCTCCAAAAAATGACCCACATGGCCAGAGTCAATATAGAAATATCATACGCATACAATTTGCCAAGAAAATATTCAATTCCCGATCACAATAACCCTTCCAATATCAATTTAAGTACTCGTCAGAGAAGGGCAGCCATGACCTATTCACTAACATAACCTTTTACAATCAGAACCAATTGTGTGGGTCTTTGGGTGGGTGTTTCATATTTGAAAAAAAAGAAGAAATGGATTTTCTTCCTGAAATTGAGTTGACACAAAACTTCAATGGAGTGCTAAACTCATTGTCCATGAAGGAAAAGGAAAAGAGTAAACCTGAATAGGCTCAGTGCTGTGAGATCTGCAATCCCACGCACGCACAGAACGGTCATAGCCAGCTGATACCACAACTGATGCATACTCATTAAATTTCACAGCATTTACCTGATACAAGAAGAAACAATATCATCAGATACTAGTCTAAGGAAAAACAGAATGTCAAGTAAGTGCTGTCACTAGAGCTTGCAAAGAAAAAATACTAATTTGCAGAATGCCCACAATTCATAAGAAACAGATAAACACTATAAACTTGTTTTATCCCATAATATCATATTATATAATCCGTGGAAAATAGAAAATGCATACTTCAAACGATCTCACTTAATACAACGATATATAGACAGAATTAGGTTTTAAGAGTAGCAGCAGCACCATACCATAAAGTATACTTCAAGGGTTTGCAAAGTTGTGCAAAATACTAAACCAGGCAGATTAACATTACTACCTGGATCAAGTTAAATGTTATCCACCGATAATGTAACTTGGCAACTACAGTTCCAAATCCAACAAAATCTCAAGTCATAAAGCCCTCATTATAATCTAAGAAGATATTTTGAAGCCCGTCTGGTAGGACAAGTCAAATAAATGAAAGAGATGCGAAAAAACTTCCAGCAATGAAGACTAATTTTGACCTTAATTCTCAGCCCTACTGCTCAAACAGACATTGTCCATTTCTCTTTCCTATATCGTTCCTCCACTCAAAGGAAAATGCTTCTCCATGTAAGTTGGAACCTTTCCTCGACTCCACAAGCAGAAGTTACATTTATTTATTTCATTACATTGATCTGATTCCCACAAGTGTACAAAATGATGAATATAACTTACCTTCACTGAACTTTTTGCCGGAAAAAAGAACAACTTTACAAGGCTAAATCATTACATTAACATTCTCATTAAGTAGAGCTCCAAGATTAAACTCTAATAATCTTCATCAATAAAGCACAAAACTTGTCACTCTTAAGACACCAATATTTGCATCAACCCCCAATTCCTACAAATAACAATGCAATTTAGTGAAAGCAATCCACCAAGAAAGAGGTTCATTTCCCCTTACCTCACTATCATGACCACGAAATTTCCGAATAACACGACCGGTGGCCACATCCCAGTAAAACACCTGCCGATCGCCTCCACACGAAGATATTTTCGAATTATCCCTGCCAGAAAGTTCCAATTTAAATTAAAAAAAAAAAAAATCTGCAGCTAGCCAGTCCAATGAATACTCAACGAATAAACCAATAGTCTCGTACGGGGTAACGTGAACGTCGCGAACTTCACGGCCGTGCGACTTGTAGGTCTTGATGTGCAATCCACGGTGAGGATTCCAAAGCCGTATGGTGCGGTCTTTGCCGCAACTCAGGCAATACTCGCCGTTCGAGTTGAACCGCGCTGCTAATACTGCGCCTTCGTGCCCCCGGAGCACGTTAGCCTCCGTCCGTGGTAGATCTGCTGAGCTCATGCTCGGTCCTAAGCTGGTTTTTGGACTTCTGTCGCCGTAACGCAGTTTTTGGACTACTGTCGCCGGAACGCTACCATGTGCCGACGGTGGTAAGAGTATTGGGTAGTGCAAAGCCCAAAATGACTAGAATGGGCCAGCCCAATTTGTTCTAGACCCTCCGGAGACTGGGCCTGCCATTTTCTTTTTCATTTAATTGTTATTTTATACTATCGTTAGTAATCCACTTAAGCTAGCCAATAGGCTAGAGAAAATTACACCATATACAACACATATCACTTTTTATTGCAAAATTACCATATGCATAACATTAATTGCAAAATTACTAAATAATTAATTGAAGTATGCAATTAATTGATCAACATAATTAAAGGTAGACTTTCTCTTTCTCCTATCTCTTCTTCTCCCTTCTTCTCTCTCTCTGTTTTTTTTTTCGGATCGGTGGAATCCTTCCTTTCTCTCCCTCTATCTCTGTATTTTTCTTTCTCTCTCCCCCCTATCTCTTCTTCTCCCTTCTCTCTCCCTCTCTCTGTTATTTTTCCACATTGCAATTGAATTGAATATTCATGGTTTTGGAATGAAATTCATGAGATTTATAAACAACTCGACACCTGGACCTGGAGTTATTTTCAGTATATGTTCTGTATATATTCGGTATACACATGTCCAGTATATGTTCGCCTGGATCTGATGTTATTTTTTAGTATATGTTCTATATATGCTCGGTATATGTTCTGTATATAAACCCTATATACATATATATATATATATATATAAATCAAATCGATAACGGCTGAATACATATCTTATCTGTGCAAAAATAACGGCTGACTAACAAAACGCGACATTTAAGGACATTGATCTCTATTTGTTGAGGTAACCGAAAATAGGTATTATCTCAATTAATTTCCATGCATTAGGTAAACTTGCAAATAAATTAATCTCTTTGGTAATCTTACAATAAATTAAGAAAAGCTGTGTATAAATGAAAATTGCCCGTAGCTATCTCTTTCACCTTCTCGAAAATAGACTTACTAGGCCCAACAACCAACAAATCAAAACGATCTCCAATCGGCGCCAATTCCCATAATCTGCAACTGCAACGTAACAACTTCTGACAATTTCTCTCTCTACACCTCCTATGGCGAATCCTTCACCACCGCCCCAATCCTTCACCATTCCCCTCTTCTTTCTCCTCCTCCTACTCACAGCCGCCGCCGCCGCCGCCGCATCCTCCGCCGCCGGCCTCAACACCACCAGTCCGTACCAAGAACTCGAGACGATGCTCCAAACCCTCAGACGCGACGGCTACGCACTCTTCACTAACGCCATCGCTACCTCCGACCTCAAATTTCAGCTCCTCACCACCATCACCAACGCCACCTCCATCGCCGCCTCTGGAGAGCCAGCTTCACCGTTCACTCTGTTCGCGCCGACCGACGAGCTCCTCTTCGCACTCGACATGGCCACCGACGCCGACGTCTACGTCAGCACCCTGAAATACCACGTCATCCCAAACCGCCGCCACACGTTCGACGGCCTCCGGAATCTGACTTCCCCCTTCCTCGAAACCCTACTTCCCAAATACTCTGTCCTGATAGGAAAAACCCGCATCGGTCGCGCAGATCTGGTGAACAACGCCACTGCCGTCGGCATCATGGTGGACGGGGTCCGGGTCACCAACCCGGATCTGTTTCTCGGGTCGAGAATCGCGGTCCACGGCATCGATGGGATTTTGTTGACCGGGCTGAACCTGAACCACCAATTCGGTCACACTGAGAACGGGTCGGATCTCTCTGCCCCCGCTGGTTCTCCGCCGGAGTTTCCCAGGCCAGGGAAGAATATCCCGGAGGCGGAGACTCCAAAACCGAAGCCTCAATTTAATAGAGAGGGTATTCCACCGGCAGGTGCGCCGGCGGCTCGTTCTAATGGGAAAACTCCAATTGCGCCGCCGGGGATTTGGCAGGGTAAGACGAAGAAGAGCTTGTCCGGGAGGAAAAAGATAGGGAGGCGCCGCCGGAGTGGTGGCGGCGGTGGTCACGGCCGCAGGTCCAAGGGCCACCACCGTCACCGTCTTGAGGAGCTGTAGATTGCTTTCCAGTTTCCAGTATTGACGGTAATGGGCTATTGTGTAAATTTGACGTTTACTGGGGTGGAAATTTCAATTCTGTTAAAAGATTTGGGGTGAAATTAGTAAGAATTACCATGAAAGGGCATTTACATGAGTTTTTACTAGAAAGTAGCTTGTGCCTGATTGCTGAATACGAATTTGTAGAATCTATCAAGATCCGATTGTTTACTATCTTCTAATTGGAAACTCATTTCTTTTGCTTTGGCTGTATATGTTCACTTACAATTTGCACTTGATTCAATGATTGTAACATCTTGTCAAGGTCAGAATATATCAAGATTGGCCTCCCCTCTAATGATCGATTTGTTCCATACCACATTTGATTCAATTCAGTGATATTTGTGGTTTGATGTTTGATTGTTTTGTGCTAGTTGAATTAAACTCGAATTGGTCGAAGCTACTACCTTGTTTTAATAACTCATATAATCACTTGTGTAAAAACATTGCTGAAGAAGACATCAGAGACTTGAATGGACTTTNCATAGTGAAAAGTTCTTGAGCAGATAATTTGACCCATACAATGAAAGCAGAAAATTTCTTGAATTTTACATATAACCATAGATTTTGCCAGAGGAGTAAAAAAAGCAAATTTGAAAATAGTGGCACACGAAGCTGCTTCTTATTGCTTATTATTACAGATACCCCCAACCAAAAAAAGAGCCTTAACATTGTTTGCAAAGCAACTACAATCCCAATGGGCCCCACTCAGTGGGCCAACGGCGGAATTGGAGGTGCCTGCACGTCAGATGGCCCACAAGCATCGCAGTAGCCCTCCCAAAGTTGGCCTTCTTCAGTGATGGTCCTTATGGCCCGACAGCAGCCCGGCCCAAGTTAGGTCTCCCCATTGAGGAAGAAGAGCAAACATGCAAGACTGGAGCTTGAGACGGGCCGTGAGGGCGGTTCTTTGGGATTCGAGATTTCGGGACGAGGTCGAGTTTGAGAGTGAGAGACATAGGATAGGATAGGAGGAGGGCTATTGGGAGTAGCTTGAGAGTGGTATCCATTTGCATGGATCAAAACAAAGCTCGTGGACAGGATGGTATGTCACCTTCTTTGTTCCAAACTTTCTGGTCTACAATTAAATATGACATTTGCATTGTTGTCAGTAGCTTCTTTGATCTGGTCAGTTACTTAAAAATTGGAATCACCTCTCTTAACTCTCATCCCTAAATGTGAAAACTCTAAAACTCTTAAGAACTTTAGACCTATAAGCCTGTGTGGGGTAACTTATAAAATCATTGCAAAAATTTTTGACTAGGAGGCTTGAAAATTGCCTGGACCTTTGCATTAGTGCAGCCAAGCTGCCTTCATCCCTGGAAGGCAGCTCCTTGATAATGTTATCATTGCTCGGGAGGCTATTTATTTCTTGAATAAATAGGCACATGTCAGGTAAAAAGAGATGTATGACAATCAAGCTAGATATGGAAAAGACATATGACAGACAGGAGTGACCTAGTGTGTTAGAAAAGTGCTTCTGAGGATCTTCTGTCAAATGGGTGATGGCTTGCATTTCTTCTGTGTCGTAAAAACGGCAGACACAAGGAATAAAAATCTCCCCAAAAGAACTCGCGGCCGAATTTTTTTTTTAACCTGCGATCAAGCCCTGCCCAGTGTCCCTCACTAATATATATATATTTTCCACCTGCTTACGCCTACTCTCAAAAATCAAAAGAATCCCTTTTTCTTCTTCTTCTTCTTCTTCTTCTTTTTTTTTTCTTTTCTCGTGAGCCACTTTTTCCAAACGAGGATTTTTAGATGATTATTATATAGGTGTACCCTCGGGGGCTCACTCGNAAAAAAAATTTGGAAGATTTTTATTTGTAAAATAATAAAAAATATCTTTACTTTAAAGTCTGGATTATTTCCATTATTTTTTGTACGTTAACAATCATATATTTTGGATTATTGATTTAAAAAAAAAATCAAAACCTTAAGGTTTAATAATATTCCTTAAATAAAAAATATTGTATAAAGAAAAGTATTTAATAATATATATTTTTCATTGATTGTATTTATTTTATTTTCATAATAGACGAGATGTGAAAAATATAAATAATTATATTTAAAATAAAGTCTAAAAAATATTTAAAATATGAACTCTTCCGTGCATCGCACGGGATATATACTAGTTAGGATAAATGAAGTTAGTTTCTTTGTTTAAATTTTAAATATGTAGTTTAAATGTGTTAGTTATATGTTAGTTATATTTTGAATATTTAAATGATTAGATATAGGCTATAAATATTCATGTACTCATTATTGTAAAAAAAGAAGTTTTATGAAATAAAGATTAAAAAAAAGGCTCGTTTTCGAGTATTTTCTTCATGGAAAACCGAGGCCGATAGTACATGTTTTTTCACTTATTAATGTGTTAACCAAGGCCGTCAGTGTGGATTTTCACATTTTATCGTATTCGAACTAAGGCTGTTAGTGCGGGTTCCTACACAAAATCGAGTCCAAATATACGACCTTCATCATTGGTGTTCTCGTTGAGAGGTGCTGATCATGTATCTTTTTCATTTATTTTGTATTTTTTAGATCCCAGCATATAAAAAAAAAGTGTGTTTATATTGATTAGTTAGGGGCTGCGT